TCTATCATCTTTTATCTTGAACTAGGCTATTTTTAGAGGGGTAGAAAACGGTCTTCTGGAGAGTTTTGGTCTTTTGCCTCTGATACCTGAATGGATGATATATAAAGATCTGCTCTATACTTCCACCTTACCTTAGCATTGATATGCTTTTTTCTCCAATAATGCAATCCCCAGTGCTTGTTTAATTCCAAAATTACTCTGCTGTCTTGTCTTTATTTACTCAGGCATGTGGTAACACAGAAGATGTTGAAGACTAGCAGTTGTCAAACTGGGGGAATCAGAGGTAAAAGCCCTAGTACTAGGCTGAGATGTAGTATTCACAGATGAAGATTATGAGCTACTGTTCCACTGGAGTTCAAGTGGGCAAAATCATGGCAGGAAGGAAAAAACAGTGAAAAGGAATTAAAGAAAGAGGTATTACAGAAACTGGAAGTAAACACTTGGGGGGAGGAATTTAAACAGTATATGGTTGTTTTCATTGAAAAAGTTGAGAAATCATTTAGTAGTAGGAACTAAATCTCCCTGAAAAAAATTAAAATGTTTCATGGTTCACTGGGAAACCCAAATGGAAGGATCCCAGTCTAAATTGCTAGGACAAAACAATAGCAATTCCTGCACTTCCTAAAGAATATTTTCAGTTTACCATTTTAGCTACTGTTATGTGGCAGAAGATTTATGCTCAGTACATTTTTAGATATAAGAATCTTGAAAGGTATCTGAAAGGTACTTTGTAAGATGTCTGGGAAAACTGTAGCATTATGAGGTGGCATATATATTTAAGTTTTGCAACTTGTCCTAGCTACAAGAATAACAAAATGATTGCTTACTGCAGTTGAAACACAGCCACCAAAGATCAGACTGGAAAATCAGTGGTGAGTTTTCTGGGTTTCTCAGCAGCAAAGGACATTTTTTGTTGCTCAATCAAAGGCAGTTGAAGAGAAAGTCTGTTAGAGAAGCAGAGGACATCACTGTGTAGATAAGTAGGAGGCTGAGAACAGTCTAGACCATTGATGTGAAAATGTCCAGATAACAAAGCACGCAGTGAACAGTTAAATTTACGTAACCTGAAATTTAGAAATTCTTTCTTTTCTCTCCATTGATCATGCATTGTATAAGGTGCACTTGTTAGATGATGACTAGAGCTGAGAAAGGTGTGTTATGATGCACCTTAGAAGAAATTTATGAAAGGTGTTTGGCTTAGCAATCTTCCTTCAGAAGAAATGTAAGAAGGCAATAAGCTCTTTTACAGAATAAAGTAGGTGAGACAGTAGGAGTTGTATCTGCTGACAAAGAAAAATGGAGCTAAGTGATCAAAGAGATTTCAATGGCAGCTGAACAGTACATCGTAGACCTGTGGATCTGAAATAGAAGCAGCAGATGAAATATTCAGTATTCAGAAAATATCCAGAGGTAACATTAGAAATTATCATTGGAAGCCACAGAGCCAAGCAGGGAAACAATGGAGATTTGGATGACAGCTGGGAGGGAGATTACTGGAGTTATGTGGAAGTTGGGCACATCGAGGGGAATTTGGAAGCTGTCGGTGGCCAAGATCATGATGAAAATGCTAAGTTACTGAGCAGTAGGAACAACTATAGGGGGTTTATGACAAAATTTTACACTTTCTCAGTAGGATTATTCATTTAACAACTTTTTATGCTTTTATACTTGCAGGATAGAACAAGCTTTGAAAGAACCAGGTCAGCATTTGAAAACAATAGAATCACAGGTCTCAAAATGCAGAGATAATACGTTTGGACAGATGTGACTGTAATGCTGTCAGCTGCTGCTATTCCATAGCAAGGCCTCTAATATTTGCTGTTTATCCTTCAAGCCAAAGCTCTTGAAGACATGTGATTAGAGGCAAATAATAGCTTTTTTTTTTCTTTTTCTTTTTTTTAAGGGAGATTCTGAGAAAATCTTGAAATCATCACTCAAATGTATACCAACAGTTAAAAATACTCACAACAAAAATAGCCAGAAATTGTTTATTTTAAATATTAGATTTTTCACAATCAACTCTTTCAAGACCAGAGCCATGATTAGTTAATATTTGATAATTAAATGATGTAACTGAGGGCTGAAATTGGCTAATGGATTCTTTTACAAACCATGACTGTGAAAGGAAGGAATGAAGTAGCTTGATATTCAGGTTGTATTTCCACAGATCCAACAGGGATTTTGTCAGTACTTTTAAAAGATTCTTTTTTTTTTTCCCCAACAGATTTTTTCTCCCATAAAAATATTTTGTAATCAGAAAGAAAAAAAAATCACCAAAAAAACCAAATCAAACAGAAGTCATGGTGACACAAAAACTCCAAAAGCCCTGAGTTACTCTGACATTTTTTCAGGATGTAACAATTTTTAGTATGGGAATTGGAAGGAGAATCATAGAGCAAGCTGTATGGTAAGATTTGCAAAACTGCACTGCAAAGGAAGCAAGATGGGTGGAAATTATTCAGTTTTTTGTAAATTAGAGTCTCTTGGTAGTCCAATTTCTGCTTCTGATATTTAAAAGTCTCTCATTTTTCCATGGCTCTCATACCTTTGCTGGAATTGCTTTCTGTTGCAGGAGCAGAATTACATATGCTTTCTCAGGTCCAGCTGACTCATAGTTGTTTCAGTCTTTGTTCTGGCTAAACTGACCAATACTTACTGACAACTTGTTACCAGAAAGCAGCATTTTCTTGTTCTTTGCTGACTATTACATCCTATATCAGGCAAGACTGTTTCCAACCACACTGTGATGATAAAAGGAAGAAGGCAATTTCCTGTTGAAAGTTTTACTTTCTGGTGTTAGGCAGGTATTTTCCTTATTGTTCTCACTTAATCAAAAGAGTGATTTTTTTTTTTCTTTTTTTTTTTTTTTTTTCTCTAAAAAGTACAAAGCTTCTAGTGAGGATGGCACTAACTTTTGAATTCTGGTCTACTATTTTAGTCTATCACAACCAAAGGAAAGATAATCATACTCAGCATGTCAATCAGCATTATTTCTTTTGTATGACAGCCTCCACAGCTAGTTTTAATGACTAAAGTTTCTATATATTGTAGCAACTGAATAAACACTAAGTAGCTGTTGGACACAAAAGCCTTAGAAGATGGAAGAGAATTGTCTGGGCATCCCACTAAGCCATCAAATAATGGAATATGTACTAAATGTGAGGACAAGAGTTTTAACTCAGGGAAAAAAAAAAAAAAAGAGAGTGGGTCAAGACAATCACCAAGTTCATTGTAAGGTTCAGTACTGCCAAACACTAAAAAACTCTTGGCAGGCCAAGTTGTTTTCTTGTCTTTTTCTGATTTTTTCAGACCATTTTAAAATTCTGGTGTTGTTTTGAGTCAACAATGAAGTATGGTTTTCCTTTGTTACATTATTTTGAAGTTAAATTGCCCTTTTCTGCCTAGCAATGCTTTTTGTTCTGATAATCCTGAGGTCATATCTCAACAAATTTTCTTTTTCACAGATTTGAAACTTGCAGTCTTAATGGAACCTGAGATGTCCTGTCACAAGAGCTAAGGATTTTAGAATAACCAATATTAAAAATCACAACAAAATCAGGACAGTGGACAAAATTTGGAGTTGCAAGTAACTCAGGATAAAATTCAGCCTACAAAATTAGTTGTTAAAGAGGATGCATAAACTGGAAGAATCACAGGTTTAACCTTGAGATGCTTTTATGAGCCTACAGTACTGACAATTAAATAAATTTACTTTTCATTGCATAAAGAGAAAATACAAAGAGGACAAAGGGTGAGTGGGCCACTACACAGTTGTCACATACTGAAGTATTAGCAATGTATCAAACACCAGAATAAATTCTGGAATTATGCTATGGTAAGTCACAAGACTTATTTTTCCCATTCTTGTCCATAAGCTGCATCCCCAGTTTATATTGCCTCTGCAATGATGTGATACTTAGCAAGAAGTGTCTATGATTTGTGCAAGTATATAGACCACCAGAGAATGGGAATGATAGCAACCCAAACTATTAGTCTGTAACTCCCCAACCCAAACCATTTACTACTCAGCTGTTGAATAAAACATTTCATTTGGGACATAAACGTGCTTGGTTTGGATTTTTTTTTTTTTAACTGTCTGTTCTAGTGAACTATGCAACACAGCTGTTTATTTAGTCATGAATTATCCTTCTAATAGAACAATATTAAACATGTGTTCAAGATCTTGCTCCTTGAAGCAAAGGTTTGCTTAAGACAGGAAAACTGAGGCGGTTCTGAAGTAATTTATCCAAGCAATTTATTTATTTGTATACATACAACCTAAAACAGCTCACCTGAAAGCTAAGACCTTTTTGTCTTTGTCAATTTTTCAGACAGCTCTTTCCTCGTGAGGCTATTTCCAAGCAACAATCAACAAAAACATGTTAGTGGAAAATGACCAGTGTATATATAGAATCGGTCGTGGGTTATTTAAGGACAGCTCTGGTAAGTAAAAGTAGTTAGATACAGATCTAACTAAACACATGCCTAGCTATAGCTGTATTCGGCAATTATATTTTTAGGTGACGGTGTCACCTGAACCACATATTCCCAAAGGCAGCCGAGACCCCGTGAGGATCTTCCGTTCGTGCCTCTCTTCAAGTGCGGGAGCGAAGCTCAGGCAGAGCTCTGTACGCCTGAGGCACAGCCCGGCCGAACGCCGCTCCGGAGACAGGACAGCAGCTGGGGGGGCACCTGGGCTTGGGGCTCGGGACGTGGAGGAGGAGGGGAAGGAGGGGGAGGAAGAGGACGAGGAGGGGCAGGGCCCCCCGAACGCCCCCCCGCGGCCGCTGGGGCCGCCTCATTACCTGTGCCCCGGGGCGCCCCCGGCTCGCCCCGCCCCGGTCCCTCCCGGTCCCTCCCGCTCCGGGCGGCGGGGCGGGGGCGGGCCCGCACCGCGGCTATTTCACCCCGCACCGTGTTCCCCGCGCTCCTCGGTCGCTCTCGCCGCAGCCCCGACCTCGCCCGCCGGCCCGCGCTCGCCCCCGCCATGCCGAACATCGTGCTGTTCAGCGGCAGCTCCCACCACGACCTGTCCCAGCGGGTGGCGGACCGGCTCGGGCTGGAGCTGGGCAAGGTGGTCACCAAGAAGTTCAGCAACCAGGAGACCAGGTGTGTCCCCGACCTCCCCTGGCCGCGGTACCCGCTCTCACGCCCCGCTGGCGTCACGGGCGCGCCCCGGACACACCCCCGTGGCCGGGCTGCTGCTGCTGCTGCCGGCGGGTCCCGCCCCGCTGTCACCCCGGGCCGGCAGCGGGTCCCGTGTGCGGCTGGCACCCGGCAGGTGCAGGGGCAGCCGCGGGGACACGGCGTGGTCCGGTGTGTCATGCCAGGTCCCTTCCTGGTTGCCCCACCCTCCCTGACCGCCTGCGGAGCACGAGCACCGCACGGGAGGCGTCCCGGCTGGCTTGTGCTGGCCCGGCTCGGCAGCGCTCCCGCCGGGTGCTCTCGGACCGCGGAGCAGGGCTGGCGCGGCCTCGGCCGGGCAAAGAGCATCCTCCCGCCCGTGGGGTGAGGATGGTGTTTGTGACAGGCAGTCTGCGGCGACAGGTGCATCCCACTGCTCGCAGATATGCGGTTGATCAGCTTTGTCTACCTAAAGATAAAAAAATCATCTTGGTTTTATGAAGGACAGTATGTTATGCAGTTTTGTAAGGACAGGATGGTGGTGATGGATTAGACGCTTTAAAAAGGGCCTAGGTCAAATCACACTTGCAGAATTTGTCGCAGCCAGGCACTGTTTTGCATCAGCAGCTACTTGTGCATGTGGTGGACCAATGACAGCTTTCCTCTGTAGCCCAAGACTGATGGTCATGCATGAGGGTGATACAGTTGTTGTGATGGCCTTGGCTTACTCCTGAAAAGTGCAGTCATACCATGCTCCTGGCCAGCCAAATGCAGAAAATTACTCTGGCAACAGTGCAAAAAATTCTGCATTAAACCATCAGGATAGCTTGCTCACCTGGACTCTCTGAATACTTGCCAGTGCTTGTTCTACCAGTATTGTCTCTCTTTACTAGTTTGTCATCTTAGCTTTCTGACCCACATATTTTGCTTAATTCTAATGAAGAATTTTAAATTGAGGTGAAAGTGGTACATTCATCCCATGAGCTGGTATGACTGTGCAGCTGTTTTCTATATAGGTGTGTGAGTCTAGGCTGACAGGTGATTCTGAAACACAACTTCCTGACTATATGTAGCTGGCTAGTCTCTGAAGTTCTTGTATGTTTATTTTTATCTGTTCTTGTTCTGAAACTCCTGAAAAAGTGTGTTTCCATTGTCTTCCTTTGAAAGATTAACATGATGTATTCTAAAGTTGCTCTTACAAAGCTTGTCCTTCTCTTCTGTCTACATTTTTGCATTCTCAGTTTAATTGCTCTTGTTCTAGTTATGCTCACTGGCATTACTATAAACCCTCTTCCATTGGTGTTTATGCAACCTAATGTTTGCACACTCTAGCTCTTCTATTCAATCCTGATTAAATGAAGGCTTAAATCTTCTGTTAAGTCTTTCCAGCCTCATACTCACTTTATTGCTCTTTGATCTCTTTTCTGCATGATAAAACTTAATTTGTGTATTTGGTTGCATGACTTTCTTGCTAACTTGTCTAATTTTTTTTTTTTTTTAATGTTTGTTCTCTAGAGACACTTATCTTAATTTCTGCTTAAAACATAGCAAACAGCAGAACTAAATTGATTTAGATTTCATCCAAGGTAGAAGTTTATCTCCAAAGTTTGCATATTTATTTTATGAGGTAAGTTAAACTCTAGGCTTCAGGATGCAATAATCTCTACCCTGTCATTCCACCTATTTTTCCAGGTATGGAATATTGGCCTCTGCCATTAATAAAGAAGGTAGTGGTGACTGCAGTGTGTCAGTGGTTTGGCTAATCTACTAGTGCCAGTTTATTTTCTTAGGCAAGCAGGGATGCAGTGTGGTATAGATATGAGGAATGTACTTAACAGAAACATTTTTTCTAGTTGCTTCTGTTGCAACACTGTGATGCTGACATTACCTTTTTCTTTTATTCCATGAATTAAAATGCCTTAACACTTTAAATCTTTATGTTTCATTTAGTTTTGAGGTGTTTGTTTGGTTGGTTGGTTGGTTTTTTGTTGTTCTTATTTTTGTATGTGTGGGGGGGTTGTATGTGTGTGAGGGGTTTTTTTACAACTTTCTACTTTTGAGATTCTAATATGAAGTTCTTCTTTCCCCTTCAGCAAATAAAGTTGTATCCTCTATTTAATGTTTTAAGTGGCTAATTTTTGCAATATCCTTAGCAACTCCTTTCAAGATACTGACTTTCCAGTTTTCCAGACTAATGTCCTTAGTAAAAAAAAAAAAAAATCATCAATAGTAATAAGAGAATTCCTCAACAACGTATTTGAAATTAAACTACAGGTAAAGTTGATATTTGTGCTGCAGTGGTTCTTTCCTAAGGCATCTGGATTTTCAGTGTGTCTATATAACAAGATTTCATTGTGTATATGTAAGCAAAAATTCTTACCATATAAAGCAAATCCATCACAGTCTTTTCCCCCCCTTATTTTAGTTGCATTTTTAAATTTATAAACTAGTGTACTGGCATTACAAAATACACTTGCAATATTGCAGAATACTGGGAGCTGATAGTTAAAAAGCACAAAGAACCTTAAACCTTCCCAATGGCACTCGGACAAACCCCTGTGCAAACAGATAAGCCTGGGTCTGAGGGTCAGCAAACTCCTGTTTTATCAGATCTGCTAAGTTAGCAAGTTCCAGAGAAGGTTTACCTTTTCTTAAAAACTCTATTTTGCTTTTTGCTGCATTCTCTTAAATATAAATGATGCTTAAATTGATAGCTGTGTGCAGACCCAGGCTTAAATCCTTGTCGAAGGGTTTTAGCTGGGAGCTCTTTACTGGAAAGCTTCAGTTTGTCTGGCTTGCAGAACGGAATAGAGGGAAGAGTCATTATATTTCCACTCAAATAGTCTTTAGGTTTCAGTCCTAGTCTTTAGCAGTGTAAGTGGGTTTGAGAAACTAATGCTGAGGTTAGCCAGGGATAGGACCACCACTGACAAGTGCTGTGGCTAAACAGGCAGGTATAATCCCAACTCCAGAACATTTAAAATGAGAAAGACTTCTCTTTTTAGTTTATTCTGAGACTGGTGTATCTAGTGATGTCACAATTATCTTTTGATTTAGGTTCGGTATTCTTTCAGGTCTGTAACTGATGAAGGTGGTGTTTGTGCTCGGGGAAGTGAGGGAAATTGCTGGTAGACTCAATCACTGCCCCATTTTTTTCCTCCATCCCTCTAAAGTGTATGGAAATGCTTTCCTTCAGCTGGAGACTAAAGTCAAGCAACCCTAACAAATGCAGCAAGGGAGCTCCTCAACAGTATCTTTATGGTTATGGAAGGTTATGGTTATGGAAGATAACTCTGTTTAGTATTCAAAGCTTCTGTGTCCGTTATGTGCCATGGTAGGAGCTTGAGTGGCACCACCTTATTTAGTTGGCAAAACGATAAGGGCTGCAGTGGGGGCTTAGTCAGTTTATCTTCTTCAAACCCCACAAGCAATTGTCATCAGCAGAGTTGTGCAGGCTGGAGGAAGAAGAAAGGAATGGAAGTCCTTAAATGAGGATGGCTGTTGTAGCCTCAGCATCTGAAACTCTGTTTTACAGACATGTAACAGATGCATACAGATATTAACACGCCAAAGCTTTTCACAAAATTGTCTCCAAATACACTGAGATGGCATTTCATTATAGTTGATACACAATTAAACCCCAGTGCAGATATTTTTGGTGACTCGATTTTTTTAAAAATCATTTAATGTATCACTTCATAAATAAATATATTTTCGTGCAAGATATGGTATTCTTGCTTCTCTAAAGACTATTTATTTTAACTCTTCCCTTGAAATGCTTTTTGTTCTCAAACTGGAGAAACTAGAGTCGTAGATGGCATTCTTTTACATACATCTCTCCTGGTGAAAGAAGTTAGGGCTCCTGCCCATTCCTGTGAGCTTCCTTGGTTCTTCTTGTCAGATTCAGTGTCTGAAGTGAATATTTCCTTGATCCAAGAGGAGGAAGGGACTTGAAGTCCTGCCTGGCACATGTGGATTTGAAGGCTTCCTACCCACAGCCTTATTTAGCTACTGAAGCTGGGTTGTTTCAGAAACATCAACTTAAAGTGAATGCCATTTAGCTTTTGCAGAGGGAATTATGGCATGACTACCAAGGGACATTGCCTGCTGTTTGGGAAAAGCTGTGCTGTTGGTATGAGGGCTGTGTTTTTGTAACTAAATAAGAAAACTGGTATCTTGGACTGAAATTTAATTTTGGAAATTAGGAAAAAGTAGCAGATGTTTCCTTGGAGAATTCATGCAAGGATGGGTTTGGGTCTCTATTTCACGCAAAGTGGGGTAATGAAACCATTTTTTTCTATAAAGTAAATAATAGAAAGAATCAAGAACAAACCTGGAAACTTATGTATCAGGAATGCACAATTTAACCCTGGCTGTAAAAATTCCCTCTTATCTTCCCTCAGCATCCTCCAAATCTTGTACTGCAGTTGTCTCAGATGAGACATGACCTCACTGCATCTCATGTAACCTGGTTTGAGTTAAACTGATGTGAAGGCCAGAAGCTGCATCACCCTCGCTGGAGTAGATGGTTATGGTGTTTGCAGATCCCTACTCGTGGAATGAACAAGCTCAGGTCATAAACTGATGTTACATCAGCTGAAGGCAGTGGGGATTAGGAGGTATGCCAGGATGTGAATTGTCTCTTCACACTGCCCAGCTGCTTAGCAGTGGTTTGCAACTGGAGTGGTTGTGTTCTGCTTGTGTCAGTGGAGGCAGCTATTTCCCTCCCTCCCACTCAGTTACATTGTCATGAATAAGGTGAAGCTGGAGAAACAGATTTTATCAGCTTAGTTGAATAAGATAAAGATTGTTTTTAGACTTCACGTTGTATGTTTGTCATGATTTAAGCCACAACAGCATGGTTTTTTGTTTATACACGGAATTGAGGATGCAGCAATATAGCCATTTATTATGTTTTTCTTTGCTCTGTATCAGAAAAGGCCCCAAATCCTTCAATGCTTTTGGTTTGAGGCTTCCACTGTATTGACCTTGCTATATACTGTGCACTTTTATCACAAAGATATCGTCATTATGTTTATCCATATCTTTATTTATCTTTGTGTAGATGATAAAAGCTGGAAATTAAAAAAAGAAAAAAAAAAAGACTGTTGAGTATAATGACTAACAAACCCACATGTCCTTAGCTGCAGAGTTTGGTACTCACTTTTGGAGACTTTTTGCCCATTTTCATGCTCATTGGACCTTTGTTTCCAAATTTCTGATGGTCCCTTTCGGACTGCATGTGGCTAGACTTAGGCCTAGCTCGAGGAAAGGTGTTTTCCTCTTGGCAGTGGTAGGCTGTGTGCCAGAGTGGAGGGTAAGAAGATATTTCCTGCTTCTCGTGCTTACCACAGCAGTTCCCACCATTAGGATTGGCAGTTGTCAATGAAGATATAGCGGAGGGTTTGTCTTAGAGCTTTTAATGTGGAAGAGCCTAGAATTGAGGGGAGACTGGGAGATAAGGGATCCCTATAAACTTAGAACCAACTCTGGCATTTTTGTTTCTTTGTTTTGGGCTTTGCTGGTGCCCACTTTATGTAACATCAAGTCAGTTGAAATATTTGCCCACTAAGTTGGAAGCCTTGCATTAAAAGACTTCACTGTGCAAAATATGTTCCCGAAGGTAAGAGGTCAAACACACCCCACTGCTGAGCACTTGTCATTGGCTGGGTTTCAATAAATTGCAAGCTCAGCATGTGGAGTTTTTTGATCACTTTTGAGATATTGATTCTTTTGTATGAGGACTCTAGACCTTAAATTTTGCCTTCTTCTCTGGGTATTAGAAGGGCCTGAAGTACACATTTACTGTATTGGAACCTAAATTACTTGAAAAATCTTACTTCTTGCAAGCATGGCTAGAAATTTAATCTGTTGTGATTATTTAAAAAGGTATGTAGATCCCTTGTAAGTGCATGATTTGAACAGGATCCTAGTTACAGATACACATTATTTACCATCCTAGTCTGGCTCTTCATACTTATTCCCCTACTTCCTCACAACTGTTTGTTTTTTAGTTAGAATATACAAATGAAAATTTCCCTTCACTATGTTCTGATGTAAATCTAGCTCACAAGGAACTCAGTCTGCTGTTACTCCTGATCCTGATTTTTGCTTAATGGATGCTTCAGCCACTGAAATATGTTTGTAAGCTGAGTAGATTTTGAGCCTTATCCTTAATTCATGATTTTTAGTCTATCCAAGTTTCTACTTACTAAATTGAACTCTCAAATCAGCTTTTACAAGGTGAAGGCAGATACTAACACTTATTAAACTTGGTTTTCATTGTGTCCTGTCATATGTGTATATTCCCAGCTAGAGCCTTGTGCTTGTGAGTTCCAAGCAACTTGGTCAAAATTTATTCCTTTTGTGGGCTATTGATTTCTGTAAATTTCACTTTTAAACAGAATTGTGTGGTGTCAGGGCTTTTAATGTACAGCTTCTGTTGACTTTTCTTGAATGAGACATTTATTTAAACTGTTACCAAATACCCAAATTTGATTAAATTGCATAAACCAAACAGAGCTTGTAATCTTGAGGCAAGAGTTTGTTGTTGTGTCCTTCCTCTGTGTCCTCACTATGTGAAATTGTTTAAATAACCTCCCAAACAATTATGATATAGATGGGGGAATTTAACAGTAATGTTAGTAAGATAACTAACACAAAGTTTGCTGTTAGCTTAGTGTTTATTAATAGATAGTTGAGATACAATACTTCAGATACCTGATTCTGTATAGTCTCTTATTGGTTGTCTGAATACGTAAAAACACCTCAAACCAAACAAAACAAAAAAGGAAGGGGTGAAAAAAACCCCAGACAAGCAACAATTAAACCCAAACTGCCATTTCCCCTAAAAAAAACCACAAACAAAACAAGAACAACAAAACAAAACAAACCACCACCCAAAACCCCACCAATGTGGTTAGTACAGGCTATACCTGATGGAATACTTGCAACACAGTGACTGGTTATCTTTTGCTCTCTGGCGTGGTGAAGGTAAAATAGGCAGCTGTGTGTTTATCTCTTGGCTGAGTCTACACAATACCTCCAATACCAATCTTTGAGAAGGTAGATAAGAAGAGATACTGAACTGTTGCACAGCTTTCTCTAGTTGATTGGGAAATGTGACTACTCACATTTCTGTGTGACAAATAGGAATGTTATTCTAGTCTTAAAAGCATAAAGAATTTTTTTCACATGCACCAAGAGAGAAGGAAGCAGCATGTTTGTTTTTTAAGTTGTTTACAAGATGAAAAAGTTACTGCTAGCACAAAGTCATTGGAAAAAAATACAATTAACGACAATGGAAAAAGCATCACTTCAGGTCCATTGTATTAAGCAGACCTATATTTATCTTAAAATATATTCCCTGACCTCCTGAAACCTCTTTTTTTTTTTAGAGATATACTTAGAAATTACTAGTTTTTAAGGAACAAAAGAACTCTGAGTGCTATAACTCAGTGTTTTTTCAGTATACAATGAACATTAGGATCATGTACTTTTGTCATTCAGGCAATTTTTTTTCCTAATATGTAATGTCTGTTAAACTAGCTGTTCTTTTTTTCTTCCTAAGTACTAAAATAATTTTTCTTTGGGTGTATTCCAAAGGTGTGTGGTATGTGACGATAGTTGTTATAAAGCAGGTCTGTGGAAGTGCTGAGTCAAGTGGCACTTATAATTTTTTAGAGCCCTCATAGTAACCATGAAACTATAATAATGATTGAGGCTACATCCATCTAGTGGGTAGATGCTTTACTTGGAGCTGGATTTGTGTGCAGAAGGGCTTCTACTTAAGCCTGGCTAGTTTTTCCAATTATGTAATATACTTAGTATCTTGCTGAACTTATGTTGACCAAAATTTTTTCAGCTCCAAAAAGGAAAACAAACTAAGAAAATGTTTTGATTAAAATACTTTTCCCTGAATGGCCCTCTTTCATTGATCAAAAAGGTGGACAGGAAAGTAACAGTTTTATCTCTGGAAATTTGTCTCTTTGTGCCATGATGAAAGCGTCCAAAAAGTTTCCTGACATACCTGCATATGACTCTGTCCCTGACCAACCCTGTCCTTCCAGAGACCTGGTGTTTGTTGGATGGTTTGCTTTCTTTTGGACCATAAGAAATCCTCCTAGTAGTATTCTTGGCCAAAAAAATGTATTCAGTTAAGGAGAAAAATTAAGACAGGATCTTACTGTAGCTTGTTTGGGACTGTGAAAGAGTTGAATAGGGGAGCTGACAACATGGACTTAACTATCTTGATGCTGATAAATCAAATGTTTGCTTATACTTAAGATGTTTTAAAGCAGTAAATTCCTTTCTACAGAAAGCTAATGAGTTTTACACAGCACCCTGAAGGTTGATAAACAAACGTTGTTAGGACTGGGTTTGGACCAGCACCAAACCTCAGTGTTGAAGGACCCATCCTGGCCTGTATCAAGAACAGTGTGGTCAGCAGGACCAGGGAAGTGATCCTTCCCCTGTACTCAGCACTGGTGAGGTCACACCTGGAGTGCTGTGTCCAGTTCTGGGCCCCTCAGTTCAGGAAGGATATTGAGGTGCTGGAGCAGGTCCAGAGAAGAGCAGCGAGGCTGGTGAAGGGACTTGAGCACAAGTCCTGTGAGGAGAGGCTGAGGGAGCTGGGGTTGTTTAGTCTGGAGAAGAGGAGGCTCAGGGGAGACCTCATCACTCTCTCCAACTGCCTGAGAGGAGGTTGTAGTCAGGTGGGTGTTTGTCTCTTCTCCCAGGCAATCAGAAGTAGGACAAGAGGGCACAGTCTTAAACTGTGCCAAGGGAGGTTTAGATTGAATATTAGGAGAAATTTTTTACAGAGAAGGTAATCAGACATTGGAATGGGCTGCCCAGGGAGGTGGTAAATTCACCGTCCCTGGAGGTTTTTAAGATGAGACTGGATGTGGCGCTGAGTGCCATGGTCTGGTAACCACGGCAGGGTTGGATCAAGGGTTGGACTTGATGGTCTTGGAGGTTTTTCCCAACCCAGTTGATTCTATGATGAGAGAAATTATTCTACCAACGTCTGGCCCATTTTACTGGTTTCCAGCTAGAAGCTTTTGCTCATTTGTGCCTCGGGTAAAGATGCAACCTTTTAAAAAAGGGCCCAATATATATTAGGATTTAATAACTGAGACTATCTTAGTAGAGCATGGGTTTAAAAGGTCTGATCAACTCATTATTTAGGAATTGTGCATGGATTTAGAGAAAAATAAAGATTATTCTGCTGTGTTTATACATAAGTTTTGGAGTAACAGGTTTGAAAAATTAGTGTGGTTCAGCAGTAGGTTTCTTTTGCTTGGATTTAGAATTGAGAAAGAATGCATTCAATAGTTTTGTTTTATTTTTCCTGTTCATTTATAAGCTCTATTTAATTTTTTAATTCTGTGGTGTGAGCAGTGACTGGTCGCAGACTTTGCCTTGAAATCTGTGGAAGCATAAAAATTCTTTTAGATAGTATCATAAAGAGCCAAAGAATGTAAGTACAGTAAGAGTGAATAGAACAACGGACACAACATGAGAATTGAGTCATGGTGAGCTGTTGATGAGCAGCCCTCATAGCTTTTCACTAAAGTTTTCATCTTTTAAAAATACTCTGCCTGAACATCATGGTGTAGATTTTAACCAGATGTTTGGTTTTGGGGTGCAGCTTGATATTTGCAGCTTATAAAATACACCTGTTTCCTGTATATAGTAACATTGTAATTATAGAAATACAATTGCCTTTTTTAAGGAGGTATTTTGATGCAGGGAATACTTAATGCCTGAAGTAGAACATGCTGTTTCTGTACTTATCGTCTAGGTTATTCTTTAAATGACCATCTACTTGGGAAATGGCAAGGACATAGAACACATAGACTAAAAAAAAACCAGTATCAAATTTAATGACAATGTGAGCTGCATCACTGTTATAGCTGTAATTATGTGTTGGTTGGTGCTGACCTTATGAAGAACATATTTAGGCTAAAGTAAATTTTAGACTGGCTAATACTGAAATAGTCTTTTTGTCAAGGAGGCAGTTAACCAAATTGCTGTAAAAAAAAAATCCTAATCTAAATGGAGAGTTTATGGAAAACTATGGAAGTTTGCTAAAACTGTTTTTTTGTTTGTTTTTTCTATTATTCTTTAGTAATGCTTTTCAAGTAATTCAAGTGTTGAAATTATCATCTCCTGCTCTTTCAGTGTAGAGATTGGTGAAAGTGTGAGAGGGGAAGATGTATATATTATCCAGAGTGGCTGTGGAGAAATAAATGACAACTTAATGGAACTACTCATCATGATCAATGCTTGCAAGATTGCATCATCCTCCAGAGTGACTGCTGTAATTCCATGTTTTCCATATGCCAGGCAAGATAAGAAAGACAAGGTAGGTAAGAACTGTGTCATTTTGGAAGGCTTTTCTTCAGCTTTCTCACTTGTAATTTTTGGAGATTATTAATTTTCGTAAATATTTAAGTGATTTGAAAGATTTGATTCCCCCTCCCCCTGTCTCTTTTTTTTTTTTGTAAAATGTTAAATTATTTTATTTATAAGTGAATTTATTTATAAGTGAGACAATTTTTTTTTTGCTTGTGTTTTGCTAATTGCCATACCTCCAGTTTGCAAAAGTAGGTACATTATATGTGTGTAGTACATTGCAGAGTACTTTGCTAGCAAACCTCACCTGATGGGATTCATTTTCCGAGTTTTGGGGTTGTTTTGGGTTTCTTTCCATTTCTATATATAAAGAGGATACACCCTTTTTAGCAATTTAGTTGCATGGAATTAAATCCTAAATTTGAACTGCTGTAACAGTTATGCAGATGGGTTTTACCCTGTATGGTTAAACAGAGTAAAATGGAAGGAACTGATAAAATCTGCAATGCGTAACAGTAATTAATAAAAAAATTATTTTATGCTACCAGACAGATTAAAAAAAAAGTTTTTATATCTGTAATAATTACTTTGATTTATACAGACCAAAATTATATGGAAATTCCATAAATACTCTTCTGATTTCAATGCCTTTTTTGTGAATTTGATCTGTCATAACTGATAAGTATCAGTTCAGCCCAGTTGGTAACACTGTAACAGACCCTCTATGGCAAGTAAGACTGATTTTAAAATATAGATAACTAGACTTTTCTATCTCTATTATATAAACAAAAAACCCTCTAATTGGTTATGTGAATGCTACCTTTACCTAAACTCACTTGAAAAGAAGTAGTAAGAAATGTGAATTTGGCTTTAAAGATTGGATTGCAGTGATTGTATTTTTGGGAAAATTTCCTCTCTCCTGTACTTTCCATAAATGCACTGCTACCTGCCTTTCACATCAAGCCCATCCTCAAAGCCTTCTGTCATTCTTTATATTCTTTCATTAAAACAAACAAACAAACAAAACAGACTGAAAAGTAATGCACAAGCTAAAAATAATAGCAGTTATTACAAAATATAATGCTCAGCCTGTGATGTCTAAGAACAAAACTAAATACAAGAGGTTTTTCCTGGTATACTCATTCTTTAAATGCAGGCTCTGTAATGCACAATATTATCAAGACCCACTTGTTATACTTCCAAAAAGGAATTCAGGAGTTAAATAGTAATACCCTATTCTTTGCCTACATCTTTTGGTACTTCATTTTTGCTGTGTTTTGTATTGAATAATGCTTTCCCTTGATCAGGAGAGGTGAAATCCTCCTTTATATCAAAAGATCTTGAAAGTGAACCAATAAACATTTTGTTGAAAAGGAAGGAAAGCATCTCACTATGTTTTGATTTTTCCAATTCATATGGGAAGATTCTGCTGGACCATCATCTAAGTTTTTGGTGTAGGAAAAGGATGAGTATATTCCAAATTTTCCATGCATCTAGATTATGTCTTGTCAAGGGTAGTCAAAATCCATCTGACAGACTTCCAAGAGACACTTAAATCCCCAGTATGGTGGCACAGCATGCCATCAAGGAGTGTTTTGTATTTTGGAAATGCCATGTGAAGATGGATAGCCTAGGAAAATGATTTTGATTAACAGGGATTTTGAGGTTTTTTTCCAGGCTGTTCTGTGTCTCTAGTTCTGCAATTTTAGACAAAATGATGGGGGTTTTTTTGTGTTGAGTTTTTTTTTCCTCCCCTCTGTTTTGCAATTGAGAAAATGTTTGCCATCTTTGGAAATTAACCTTGGTAGTTGACCTCCATGTTGCAAAATAAGCTATAATATAGTTGTCAACATGGGGCAGCTTATTGACAGGGACATCTTTCCTCCTGCTTTTGGATTGCATCACATCACTTGGTCTTTGACCCATGTAGAGTGCACAAGCTTTGTATGCTGCCTGAAGTGTCAGTAAAGTGCCAGCCATTTTCTTCCTATTAATGTACACAGATTTTCTTCTATGGTGAAAGCTATTGCTGTAGTTTGCTTGACTATGAACTGAAGCAGTATAATCTTCACTAGTGCAATGCTGTTTTCTGGTTTGAATTTAAGTTATTGACTTTAATTCATTAAGAACTAAATAGACTGAGTCCTTTCTGCTTAAAATAACCATGTATTCTTCATATCTCTGTATTCTTCATATCTCTGCAGTTACGATTGCTGAGAACAATGAAAGTGCTCTTGACTTGTTTATGTAAGGAAAAGGCCTTGCAGTACAAATCTTATTCTGAACAAGGCCTTTGTAATCTACTTGGGAAATTTTAGCACTAAACCTGGACTAGCTTTAAATGGGAAACAGAAGTTTAAAAAAAAGGCTTACTGAGAATCATAGAGAAGTTGGCAAATTAATTTAGACTCAATCACATGCTGCCCTAAACTAGAATATTTCTGATGCACAAGCTAACTAACTTAAAATTAGCTCAATTGTGTCTGTGCTTTGGCCATACTTGCATTTATGTATCCTCTAATTATGCTAACCTTCCAAGGTATGGGCAGGACACATTTATGTAGGATACTGCAGAGATGCCTTTGAGATAAGTTAGAAGTACAGTGACAGGTGAGTTTGGTGTTCTGCCACTCATGTAACTTTGTTTTTTTGATTTGTAGAAGGGGTCCGTGGAGCGTTGGGTAGGTATCTTTTTTTTTTTTTTTTAAATCTAACACTATGCATTTTCCATTAATGTGGCCTTAAAGAGTGAAACTTAATGGGTTATATTACGTATAACTAGGAACATCTTCAGTTTCACTTCTTGATTTCAGTTGTGTTTCACCTAGGCCATGACAGTAATCCTCTAGAATAATTTGCTCTAAGATTCTGGTTAAAAATTTGTTTGGACATTCAAGATAATGGCTGTCAACTTCTGAAGCTTCAAAGCGTATCTCATTTTTGAAATGATAAATTTGGGTAATACATTACTGAACATTCAGTATCCATACACTTCACAGCTGGCTTTCTTGGAAGTGAAAGTTCCAGTTATAAATTTTTTTTTTTTTTTTTTTTGTTCAGCATGCATGTAATGAATATTGAGCAAGACAATGTAATAAGATGCTTGAAGGCAACAGAGCTTTGATCTTGATGGACAACTTTTTTACTTTCAGCTATGTGTCCACTGCACAGTTGCTCTTGTGAGGTTGCTTACATTAGCTTTGTGGATTCCTCTTGCCCCTGGTAATTCAAGTGATTTTTTTACAATTTACTTTCTGCACCTAATTTAATGCTGCATTTCACACTAATAATTCTGAAACCAATCTAAAATTGTATCAAAGAATGGAACAATGAATACTGTGAATCTCTGTTCTTACCTCTCTCATCAGAAGCAAACCTTACAAACTGCAATATAAAGAAAATTATGAGTTCTCATCTTTGTCATCCAAGTTCCTGAGTAATGAGGCCAGGTTATCTGAAGTTCCCATGAATATACTTTCTTTGATTTTAAAATAATCTTCAATTTGGATCACACTGTAGCAGAAAACTTACGTTCTATGCAAACAATCAAATATTAAACTCTTTTGAATGTGTCATGTGGGTTTTCTTTTAATGCACAATTTTGGGTAAAGGAAGCTGTCAGCTGCAAATTTCTTTTGTCTTAATCTCCTGTTAGCCCATTTTTGAGAAACAGGTATTGGTGCCTGGCTAACTTCCTTACAAGACCCTCTGTCCACCAACATGTGGACAATCTGTGATGTGTGCATATCTGCTAAAACAAGTTACCTAGTGGTAAAACTTTAAATTCTTCCTTCTGGGAAGGCAGCCTGTAAGGCCAGCAGCTGAAAGTACCAACTGGTAACGTATACATTAGTATGTGATGCAGGAAAGTATTTTGTTTAAGGTTTTTTTTGTGATGGTGATACTCATGATATTGATACAAGAGACAAACTGAAAGGTATTCACATTGAACAAAATGAAAAAAAAAAAAAACCAAAGACAAAATCTAGCATGCTGGATGCAGTGGAAATGGCAAACCACACTCTGAGGAGAATGTAATTTGCCTTTAACTGCTAGTCTAAACTAGTTACTTGTTTCTACCAGTGGGTGTGGTCCTGGTTTGCCATCTTCTTTTCCTTTCTCTTCCACTTGAGCTAATTCACATGGTTGCTGTTGGTTTAGACAAGTCCTGGTCTGCAGAACAAGGGAAGTGGTGGAAATGTCTAGCCTGGAAAGAAGGGTTGGGACAAGCAGGGGAGCAAACTTATGATTTCAGCATCACCTGTTAGTCCAGCTTAGTGGAAGCATTAAGCCAAATCTTTGCAAAGAGCTGGTAAGAGAACACTTATGATAGAATAAAAAGAGTAGATACTAAGTCTTTTTTTTTGTTAGATGTTGCCAGAGATTTGAGAATATTTTGAAGTCCAGCTTAAAAATGTCAGATGCTACGATCAGGAATTCAAATGGCATGAACAAAAAGTTTGCTAATAATAACAGAAATATCCAGAAAGCCTTGGAGAACTTGGACCTTACAGAACTGAACTTAAATTAAGAGCACTATAGTCCTCAGTAAGTGGAAAATCAATTGTGCTGAAGTGCTAATGATAAATTCTTTTGGAATCTGCATCTTATGCATCTGAATTGCAGAGTTCTAGGGAAGTGCTAGCTGTTGCATCTGCCAAATGGTGGTGATGGTCTGTGAAACACAGGGCCCAAAAGGCATGGTTTTCAAAATGAAGAATTTTATTAATGATGGAGATAAACTTTATCTAGCCATGAGAAAGACTGCAGTATCTCAGTTTCTGTTCTGGAAGTGTGTTGTCAATCTGTAGGTTGAAACAGAAATGCCAAGTTTCCACCTAAATTAGCAGAAGTTTTGGGGAAAATATTGGTTTCTTGATAGGACACGGAGAAGAATCCAGGGTAAATGGGAAGTGATTCAGCTCATTGTCAGTTATGCCCTTGAGCATCAATGGAAATAAAGCAGAGATACTCTGTAATTGTGTGTGGGGTGTGGATGGAGAGGAGGTTTCTAGGAGGCAAAATGAGGCTGTTTGATAGAGGTAGCAGGAGAGAACACTATGCCAGCATAAAACAATCTACCAGTGAGACAGAGACTCTGAATGGCAGTTCTCCCTTCATGTTAGTATTATTGCCAGCTATTAGCCCTATTTAAAGATTGGCAAAAAGAAAGCAGTGGGGTTTTGATATTTCTGTCAGAGAAATCTGTCCAGGGTAACATTGCTTTTTACAGAGCTAAAAAAGACTGATTAAACTTTAGAGTTGCTCCAAAACCAAAAGTGAGATATCCTCCAGTCACGGTTTCCATCTTTTTTTTTTTTTTTTTTTTTTACTGTTACTGTTTGTTCTGCATCCTTGATGCTTTTAAAGAGCTTTTGACATTGACATTAACTTCTATTGTTCTTTTCACTTCTTAGGGGTTTTTTTTTCATTCCCCCTGTCGCTTTTGAGAATTCTAAATTCCCAAGTGCATCCAAGAATTAAACATGAATTAACAAAAAAAGGATAAATAAATAGGCTAGGGTAGAAGACTCCTATCAACAAGGATCTGCTACAGACTTTATTGTGTCATGAAGAAATGCTTGGTACTAACATTGTTTTAAAGCAGTGTTCTCAAAAGTTGGGTTCACTTTGATCTATGGTTTTTGCAGTGCTTTTAGAACAGGGTAGATGCTTTAGAGTTGGTTGTCTGTGTAGGGTAGTGGCTTAGAGAAATAGAGATTGTCTTCTGCTATAGGAATGCTATCTGAAAGTTGTAAGCAGAAAAATTGGAAAATTATATCCCCAATTTTATATCTTTTTAATACAAAGCATTATTAGGCAGACAGTGCAAACTGATTTAGATATGCCTAAATACTGAGTTTCAAAACCCTAGTAGCAAGATAAGCTATTGACAGGCTAGTTTGGCAAAAGTTCTGGAATTTTTCATGTCTAGATTCCAAATATTCTAAAGAAAAAAACCAATAAAAGTATTTAATCTACTTACTCCTTGCATCTAGGCAAAATATTTTAAAATTAAAGCATTTGTGCTTTATTCCTCAGAGCCGTGCACCAATCTCTGCAAAACTTGTTGCCAACATGCTGTCAGTGGCGGGGGCTGATCACATCATCACCATGGACTTGCATGCTTCTCAGATCCAGGTAACTGTTGGTTCTTACTAGTTGTGCCTAGGAGCTCTACTGAACTGATGGGAAAGGCTGATAGTAATTCTCTGCATTGTCTCATTGTTTTGATAGGCTATGTACAGGACTCCCAGGGCTCAGAGAAAATCTCCTTGCCTGTTTCTAATTAAATACCCTTTTAGAAGGAGACGTCTCTTGATTTTATGGGCTGATTTTGCAGGCGTTTCAAATATTTGTGCATTGGAGTCTTCAGCAGAATTTGCCATGCCTAATGTAACATAAAATATACTGGTTTGTGGCAAGTTCTCTTGATCTGAGCCTTGTCAGAATTGTAGTGTTGCCCTAGATAGAGTTTTGTTGTTACAGCCAAGGGTACAGTATTCTCTTAAAAGAAGTGGAGATTAAGATTGGCAACCCTTACCTGGCTTACTGCTGAACCCAGCAAATCACAAAACGTTTTCCTCAGTAACAGAGCAGATATCATTTGTCATTCTCATGTGTACCTTCTTTTAAGATACCTTATTTTTGCATTCTGTTTAATCAGAATTTCTTCTTGTACTAGATGGCTGTCATGCAAATAAGAAGCAGTTTCATTTGTGGTTTTACATTGTTTTTGTCCAAATTGTAAATACAAGAAATCTAAGATTCAACTGCTCAAGTAATACTAGCTAGAGTCTTCCCTGTGTTGAAATACTGCTGTTCATGTTAAGAAGCTGAAATTTATGGAAGTTAACTATTACTCACTGGATTTTTTGAGAGCTTTTCACTAGCCTGAATTTACTTGAGTACCTGAAGGTGATCACCTTTTCTGATTTTTTATATCAGTTGAGAACATCTGTTCTCTGATTCACTACTCTTAGATGAGATTTTTAGAGACCTTAGTATTTATTTGACTTGAGCAGCATTTGACAGTAGTATCTCAAGTTCTACCATTCAGAAAGGCAAAGGCTCGGTTCTTTCCCTGTGTCTTTGTTTCAGTTAAGATCCAAACACACGTTCATGAAATTCTTTCTTTTTTGGACTAGGGTTTCTTTGACATTCCAGTAGATAACCTGTATGCAGAACCTGCAGTGCTGCAGTGGATTAAAGAGAACATTCCTGAGTGGAGAAACTGTATCATAGTCTCACCTGATGCAGGTGGTGCAAAAAGGTACTATCCAAGCCTAAAACTATTGATTTTACATATGGTTAGTGGTTAATGAATTAGTTTGTCTAGTCTTCTATTTTCCTCTATGAAATGTACAAGCTATAGGGTACCTCACTGATGAATCCAACTACATTGTAAAAACAGAACAATAGTCCTTCCAATGTTGTTCATGCTTGAAAACATTCAGGACCTTTCTATACTCTAAAGAAAATGTTTTTCTCTCTCTCTGGATATGGCCTTATTAGCTGAATCCCTCCACAGGAGGGGAGAGATTTTTCCTGCTGCTTGCTTCTTTAGTCCAGTTGCTGCACCTCTTCCTGCTTCGCTCTGGAAGTACCTAAGCTTCCATTCTCTGTCAAAACACATGGCCTATTCCCACTGTACCTGCTGGCATTTAGGTAAGAGCTTGCTTGACTCATATTTCCTTTTTCTTTATGTTATTGCACTTGAACTGTAAACCTATTGACCCTGAGTTTTGCATTATAAATACTAAAAAAAGGGAGTGAAGTGGCAAAAGGAAAAAATAGAAAACTTAGTTCATTTCTTGATTCACAGCATGTGTTTCTCACTTAGCAGACTATCTTTTATTTGGTATCGATTGAGTGTAAACCAGTGCAAAAGCTCAGTAGCACACTGGCTGGTGAGGTGATAAAGCATGCCATTGAGGCAAAGTGCTCATTCTCAAGTTTTATTGGTTGTGCTGCTGCTGCAAAGGGAACAAAGAAAAATGAAGTAAGAATCCTGTAAGTCCATAGCCATTTATATGTCTGAAACATGGTATGGGGAAAAATGTGAAGGACTGTCATAATTTTATTTTAATTGAAATCCTTGGGTCTTTTGTGAATGTTCATGTTGTAATGATTAGTAGGGAAATAAGACTGATTAGAACTCCATAGTTGTTCATTTTTAGATTAATCAAATTAAGGATGTAAAGAATATAAACTATAGAAAGCATTCTAAAGGTCAGATGACTCAGCAGATTAAATTTCTTAGTTCATTCCTATCTGGATGCTGTTATTTTCACAGTTGTCTTTTGTTTAAAATTGGTTTTGTTTGGTTTTGTTTTTTAAAAAAATATAACCTCTGCTTAGAATTCATGTCAGAAGACAGCATTTTTTCCCCTACCCAGTATTTGTGTATTATCAAGTTAATCATTAGAGTTTATTTTTTGAAGATTACTCTCACTGTATTCAATATGGATAGTTGCAGTCTATCTTTAGTATTTTTATTGTAATGCAACCGAACAGTTGCTGGTTAAGTTGGGGCAGATGTTGCTTTCAGTAAAGCCACAGGTTCTCCTTCACCTCCAGCATTGTAATGTGAAGAATATGGTTTGGCCTTTCCATTTAAAATACGTAGAACTTCAACATAATACTTAATGGAAAGTGAATGTGAGTCATCTTAAAATTTAAATCAGTAAGGATAGATTAAAAAAAAAATCCATGTTCTTGCACTTATTTAAAATATCTGAATTCTTTTTTTGTTTCTTACCATTTGCTTGTTTGTTCCCCAGCTTATTAAATGTTGTGATTGAAATAAGGCATGCAAATTCTGTTGATATCTTATAGCCTCTAAGGTATTGAGACTTGCTATTAAATCACATTATTCACAAAAAATTCCAAAATTTGGGGTTTTTTTGATTATCATACAATTGTTGAAATACTGTAACTAACAACTCCTTCATATTTTAGTGGTAAAGAAACATAACTGTATTCTCTATTAACCATGCAAAGAACCTTTTTAACAACACTCTAAACATATTCTAAAAATACAGGTTCCAAGGTTGCACCAGCATTTAAAAGAAAAGCATGGAATTTTTTATTCCTGTGTCTTGATACCTAACAGCTCTGTTATATTAAACTGAAGAAAGCAATCAGAAGTCTATAACAAGTTAAATTTATTATTGGAAGTTTGCCTGGCCGCCAGAGGTCACCCTGAATAGTTTGAAAAGATCTTTGTCAAGCAGATGTATGCTAAGAGAATTATTAATGAAGTAAACTACTTGATTACTATTCAAGTACTGTGAAAAGAATTATTAATCTCTGTTACCTTTTTAGGTTTTTCCCCTTTGGTTTGGTTTCACATCCTGCAATGGTATTTTTCAGTTAGAATGTTAAAGTGCATGCTCCTGTAGGCTTAGGATTGACTTAGAATTTCCTCTGCTTTAAATTACCTAGTGTGACTTGTATTGCAGCAGCTTAATAAAAGCTTGCGAAAAGCTGAAATGTTTTAAAAGCCAGGCACTTAATGACAGAAACCCAAAATCTATTCAATTAAAAAAATCAATTTTTGGACTATAGCTTAAGACACTCTTGTTGTATTTATTAGCTATGAATTAAGATTATTTCTGTCTGTCTCATTCCTTGCAAAAGTTTTTGCTGTGGTAATTCTAAAGCCAGGAAACAAAAACTGTATTTTGTGACAAATACATATGTATGAACTGTTCTTTCTTTTAAAATGGTTTTCTAAATATGGTGTATTTCTTTCCATAACTCAGGGTTACTTCAATTGCTGATAGACTGAATGTGGAATTTGCTCTCATTCATAAGGAAAGAAAGAAGGCAAATGAAGTGGACAGAATGGTCTTGGTTGGTGACGTGAAAGATAGAGTAGCAATTCTTGTTGATGATATGGCTGACACATGTGGCACAATCTGTCATGCAGCAGACAAGTGAGTATTATTGTGAACTGGCCCACTGTTCTCACTGTACTGAAGACAGCTGATGAATGCAGTTGTCCTACATACCTATATCCCAACCTGACATCTGTAGCATGAAGGCATTCTGATCCTTGAGTCTGTAAGTTGCAGTTCTGTGATCAAGCTGTGTCCTTCTTTAAAACATGGAATTGAGAAAATATTTACAGAAATACATGATTTGTTTTTAGGAAGAGCACAGAAAAAATGTCATATAACTTGAAAGGGATTTGGGCTGTCTAATGGACTTTACAGTCAAAATCACAAATTCCCTAGCCAACAATATTTTTTTTTTTTTATACTCCTGTGCTTAGAAGAAGTTAATTCCTGTCAAAAAGAAGACCCTTTTTTTTTTTTCTCTCCTGTTATGAAAGAAGCGCTCTTTATTTACCTGGAGTAGATTTCTAGAGACCAAATTTTTAAATCATCAAACACCTTCAATGTATCTGCAGTGTTCACTAAGAAAGATGCTTTTGCCTGAGTGATGCTGCCTTATATCATGTTGTTGGCATGAAGTAGTGCTTTTGATTCAAGTCAAATCTAGGTGGGAGGTACTTTGTGTTTAATTACACTTGATCACCAAAATACTTCTTAGAACTCCTTTTATCTTAGCAACGTAGATGCATATCAAGCATGAACTAAGAAATGTATTTTCAGATACAGCAGATCAACTTACTTAAGTACAAACTTGAGCACACACCCTTGGTACACACTCACCCTGTCAAGCTGTATCCTCCTTGTAGGTTGCAGCTACTAAATGTATCTCTGAAAATGACCAAAAAACTTTGATTTTGACTCATTTTGAGTCATTCAAAATGAGATGATGTTCCTGTGGGTTTTTTTTATCTCCCTTATGCTTCCTCCTGTGCCTTTGTGATGATTTGATAAAATGCCATTCCTCAGGGTCTCTGTTTGTAAAGCTAGAAAAGCACATAGGACATAGCTGAGCATCTGGAGGCATTGAGGCCAGTAAAAAACAAACAAACAAACACAAATTTAAGGTATTTTGACTTATTCACAAAGTGTTCTAGTTCTTTGATTTATACTTTTTTTTTTCTTCCTCCTCTGCTGCACCACTTCACTGAGTGCTTGCATCAGCAGCATGTCTTCCCTCAACCTTGCAGCAAGCTAGGCTTTTAATCATTAACATTTGTTCTTCCTCAGAAACTCCTTCCAAGCAGAACCTTTTGAATTGCAGATGAAAATAAAGGTGGACAATAATGGAGACACAATAGAGTTGTGAATGCTGCCATCCAACCTACTTGATTTTAAGACAGAAAACTTGTACTGGAGTTCAGTTGTATGTTGTGCTGATAGGGTCAAAGTGCAGAAATTTAAATTAGTATCGCTGCTGCAAATAAGAACTTTTTTATTTAATTATCAGTGTATGGAGTTGGGGGTTTTCTTTTGAGACAATTCTAAACTTTTTCAGGTTATACAAATATCTGAATTATTTTGTAGGTGTTTTATGTGTAGGAATTTGTGAGTAAAATGTATTCTAGAGATTTGTATCTGGTTTCATCTATATATATGTATGGAAACATGCATCACATCATATTTTTCTTGTGTGTGTTCTACAGGTTGATGTCTGCTGGAGCTACTAAAGTTTATGCCATTCTCACTCATGGCATCTTTTCTGGTCCTGCCCTCTCTCGGATTAATAATGCATCGTTTGAGGCTGTTGTGGTAACCAATACAATCCCCCAAGAGGAGAAAATGAAACACTGCCCAAAAATACAGGTAGAGTGATATTTTTGTTCAACTTCTTTAAACTCTGGATCTGTGTTTAACTGTTCACTGGTGCTAGAATTTGTGCCTTGAGAGGAAATTAATATTCTAAAATACATGGTTTGCAAACAGTTTTGCTGAAACATGCCAAAGAACTGTTTTAAGGGGATTAAGGTAGTACAATAGAGCATTGCAAAATATTTGCTGTACCTTGAGTATGCTTGTTTGTGAAAGAGTGACAAATGTAAAACTGACTGGATTTTGGTGGTTTTTTTTTTTTAATCAGTATTTGCATGCAGGAACTTATGTTATTGTGGAGGCCACAGAAATCTTAGACCTTTTTTTTTTTTTAAAAACACTAATGGAATTGTTCTGGGAAGTCATGTGTTTCAGTGGAGGTTTTCTTTAGTACAGAGTGGAGAAAAGCATAAAAGATTGTGGTTTTAATGCATTATTGGATTTTTTAAAAAGCCTAACATTTATTTGGTATTTATTGAAACAAGACAAGCACTCAAAAGGTGTACTTCCCTTAAACTGTATTTGTCTCAAGCAGACACTGCCATCTGATGGCAGGAACAGTGGGGGTTTTTCACAAGATGACTTTTGTCAGAAGTCTTAACAATATGACTGTGCAGCAATCTTAGTGGATGCTTTCTGACTCAGTTTTTTAGTTTTACTTTGTATCAGTGCAGTTCTTATGTATATATTCAATATCTAAAGCTTTAATATTGTAATTCTTCCTAGAAAAAAGAGAGCACAATGGTAGATTGTTTGTCTATATGTTTATAAACTGCATAGTTTTATTGTTCTTGGCATCCCATAAAATTTTTCTTCTTGATTTTTCTTTCAGTTTATTGACATTTCCATGATCCTGGCAGAGGCAATTCGAAGAACACACAATGGTGAATCTGTGTCTTACCTGTTCAGTCATGTCCCCTTATAACTGCAGGAGATTACATTGCATCTTTGCAAAGGTCCCTCTAAGCTAGCACTGTTTTTAATGATACACTTCAACCACAAGAAATTAGTGTCTTTGCACAATTCCAGAGCTTGTATGTTTAATTATTATATTTGTCTTGAAATCACCACTTATTGTTATAAATGGGCAATAAATCTCCATCTTGAAGAAACCTTATGAATTCACTCAAGAGTCTGAAGGTCTTCTGTGTTGCATAAGTTCTCTTTAATGTGCCTGTCCTCACTTTCTGCCAAACTGCTGTTTTGGATCCATTTTTCTATAGAGAACTACTAATTGTTCACAGATTTTAATGGGATGTATACATGTAAGATAATTTTCTGTGTTCAGCTAAGTGCTGCAGACTGCAGTATCGTTGGATCTGTTGGGGGCAGGCAGCTGGTTTGTTTGTTTGTTTGTTTGTTTGTTTGTTATATTTAATTACCATGAATAGTATTTTGTAAGCCTAACAGTATGTGAAGGTCATGCTAATTTTGAGGAACTGTTGACATACACATAGTATTAACTGTTTCACACACTTCATGTTCATATTTACCCACAAGATACATGGGCTGCTCTTTCCTTTTGTAAAGCTCTCATTACATTAAATGGTTTGCATAACATCCATTCCATGCAGTTACTGTCTGCAGTTTTAAGATTAATGTTTCAGTATTCCCGTGGTTATTAGTATCGCTTGTTTCGATAATAAGGAGCAACCTTTAATCATGAGCAATTTGGTTCAAATTTCCTTTTTTCTTTGTAGTTTTTACCACTCACTGATTCTGATATTATGAATATTTTTGTAGCAGTTTTCTATTAATATTGTAAAGGTTTACTGTGCAAAGTCCAAACAGAAAACTTAAACACACTTCTATGAATTGATCTCTGCCCATATCTACGTGATTAAAAAGTTACTGAAAATAATTTTTGTTTGTTTTGGTTTTTTTTCCAAACTGTACAGCCAATAGATCTTCAAGTTTCTATTACAAAGTACCACAATACTTCACCGTGCAGCCAGTGAACTATGGTACTTTACCTATCTTGAATACTCTAACATTAGAAAATTAAAATCATTATGAAAGCAGTTTTGCCTGTTGTATGATAGGAAAGCTTGTTCTTAAGGATGGGTAATAGAGGGGATTACCCAAATGGATTTGGGGAGGGTAAATAATACTGTAATTTTGTGATTAGGTTTTTGAATCCTACTGGGGAGTGTTTTCAGTCCTTCTGTTAGAAAGTAACAGTTTGTATATTAGTGTTCCTGCACCTAGATCACAGGAAATCAAATTTCCTACCTGAAACTGCAGTTGTTAACTGCAAAAGCATTGAGATGATGCTTCCTTACTACAGATCTACATAAAAAAACCAGCCTTATTTCATCCTAACTTGCTTATTTTGGGGCATATTTATAATAATACAATGCTGCTTTATAAAGTGGATTTTTCCATTCCAGCTAAGACAGCCTTCAGAAACCCTATTTTACTTTTTTGGTTTGTTTCTCTGAGAATAAATCTATATGGTCTTCATTTTTTTTCCCAGTAATTTTCTATGGCTTCTGTGGAATTATTCCTCCTACATGGGAATGAGTAAAACAGAATTTCACCTATACATCTTTCGATGATGAATACAGAAATGAGGTATATAAGTTATTTGTTCAGCTGCTGGTTCTCAGAAGAGTTCCTCATTACCGTTGAATTTTCAAAACTGTTATAACACAGTGGAAATAAATTTACAGAATTGTGGGACTTTTGAAAAGAAATTTCTTAAATATAAGGTTATTTAACGTATTGCCTTGAAAATATTACTTACCAGTTATGTGGCCACAGGCCTTGGGGGTAACCACTTGAGTATACCAAAGTTTACAAACTAACACTACACAAAAGGTATAGAATACAGTTAATGCATGATATCAGTTCAGTTGCTTTATAGATCAGGCCTTTGTTCCAAATAAAATGCTGAATCGTTTGCCTTTGCTGTGTACAAGTACTGTAAATAAAACTTCAAAATTACTTGTGCCAAGAGATTGCTTCTGCTTCTATTCTTCTGAAACTTTTTTTGGAGACCATGCCCTGTGCAGGACAAATAGCATGAGAGTCAATGCCTACGTATCAAACCTTGTTCATAAATTGTGCTGCAGCTGTCTTGGACATACAGGTGAACTGTTAATCCCACCAAACTGGTACACATCTTTATAATAAGGTGTCCTCCTTCTTTTTATGGTCTGACAGAAGAGATACAAGGTTTAAGTTTCCTTGGGAGTCTGAGTTAACATTTCATGAGCAGCTGAAGTTTGTATTCCTCAGATGGTTGTAAGTAAACCTACGCAATGCTATTTACCAGGATGAGATGGGGGAAAGAGCAGCAGGAAAATGGCAGAATTGAGCTTACTGTATCTACTGCATTTTGTGCACTTGAAATGCTTATGAAGAGTTATGGGTGACTTCCAACAGCTCTGTGAAAACCACATCTATTTTGACAGAATTGAAGCTGTGGAAACAGAGGATTGTGAGGTGTTGTTTGGTTTTTTAATGCTCTATGCTCCTCCCTCCATGCCTGGCTTCTGGTCTGAAGATCAGATGACAGTTCAGCCTGGTGGGAAACATTCCTCATTCAGCAGCATCATTTTGAAATGATGAAAAAAAAGCCACATTGCATAGCATAAGTTAGAGGATTTAGCTCATATCTGTCTGGAAACCTTATTTTGCCTCGTTCTCTTGCCCTCATGGAAGCACACGTTTTTGCCTTTCTTGGTAAGAGCACCTGACATTTGCAGCCTCTCTGGAACCTCTTGTCATAGACTCCAGGGATTTTAAGTGTCAAATGTTCAGAGGCTGTTGCTGAAGCAGTGGAGTGTTGGGAGTGAAACCTGAGCATGTTTTCACTGTACAAGTCCCTCTCTCAGTTGCTTGTCAGGCGTTGTCAATGCTGGTGCTCTGTGGTCTCTGGTGTGTTGAGTGGTGGCTGCCCCAGGCTGGCAGCCAAGCCCCACACGACCCAGTTTGGAAGAGAATTGGGAGGGCAGATTCAGAACCTCAAGGCCTTTTTGCACTGGTGAGCAGGCTGTAGGTGGGCAAGAATCTGGCAGGGGACACATCAGTTTTGCAGAACCCAGCTGACCAAAGGGAAAACCCAAGCCATTATGGTCCCTTGCCCAGCAATAAAATTTGGGGTGGGGGGGGATGAGGATTTTTTGAAACCAGCTGTCACTGAGGCCAGCTGGGCACTGATCTGCTGTCAGGAGGTGATGAGTAATCATTTTTGCATCTTTTACCTTTTTTTATTTCTTAATTTATTAACCCAGCTATATCTCCACCCAAGAGCTGCTTTGGGTAACCTGAGTGCCTCACCACACTTAGAGTAAATAATTTCTTCTTTCCCCTATTTCAATTTGACCCCATTCAATTTCAGTCCATTATTCCTTGTCCTATCAGTACAGTTCCTGATGAAGAGTCCCTGGTTTCCTTGTAGATATACTAGAAGGCTGCTATGAGATCTCTGAGCTGAACAGCCCCAATTTTATCAACCTGTCTTTGTAGGGGAGGTGCTCCAGTCCCCTTAACAAATTTGTGGCCCTCCTCTGGACTTGGTCCATCATTTCCATGTCATTCTTATGAAAACAACCTGTTAAGTGGTAGCCCTCGGCCATAAAAATGTCATGCACAATTTTTGAAAAAGCCATATCAAATACTATAATAAATCAGAATATTAATCAACATGTGTGTTTAATATAAACCTCATTACACTTGCTTGCCATAATCTTAAGCCTTTATTTCCTTTGAAACTGTTTCCTGATATGTAATTTGTTTGGGTCCGGCAGCATCTGAGTTCCATGTTGTTCTGCAGAGGTTGTTTCAGTACTCTTTCAGTGCTTTGGCCTGAGAATAACTTCATAAACCAAGATTGCCTATATGAAACATTAAAAAAGGATAGTAATGTCATCACTAAGAAATAGGAGTTGAGGATATCTCTGTCACAAGTGCCAAAATTACACTAAACCTGCCAGTTTTGTTATTTGCCAGCAGTTCCTGCATTAGGATCCACCAGTGCTTCCAGCATTACTGCCTTGGCACTCCTCCTCCTCATCATCATCCCCCAGAAAAAAGCAGGGATGCCCTCTTTGGCTACTCTATCTTATCAGTCCCTTAGGAAGGAATAAACAGGAGAGGTGTAGCTGCATTGCTGACCCTGGAGAGCTTGGAAAATAGCTCCATCTTATTTCAGGTATTTCTGGATGTCTTCTACCTCCCTTGAAGGTCACTCACTTTCAGTAAGAGGAGTGGCAGGCACCTTTGCTTCCAGCACACAATTTTAACCTCTTGTAAACACCAGTCAGTCAGTCTTGGCACGGATGTAGCCTGGGGCAGCCTGAGCTTTCAGAAACAGCCAAGTCCATTTCTGTGGTATTGGAGGCTCCCTCAGCTGTACCTCAGCACCCTGGGTGGTTTGGGTCTCCTCCCTCACCAGAGCTTTGAGTGCTCCTCTGCCCTTGTTGTTGGCCAATCTCCTCCACTGCTGTCTTCTGCTTATTGTTTTGGTTATTTTTAGAGTCTGCAAACACATTTCTGCAGCTGCTGTCAACAAGGATCCTCCATTACATACACAGATCATACATACGGAAGCTTTAATGCTTCTGCAAGTGATTTTGTTTTAATTTCCTCAATTTTACTATCCATTTCTCTTTGTGGTTCTTTTCATACATCTGTCTACATCACTTTGAGGAGTCAGCTTATTTATTTCAAAAGTGCCCAACCTAACTGGTTTTCTTGAATAATTTCCTGGGTAAATTATGCAATCTTACACCGAATATTGTATTAACCATGAATATGTGGGGTTGTATCAGCATTCTTGATAGGAGGGTTGACACTACAGAGAAAAGATTTTGCTGCAAGACGTTAGGAATAAAAAGAAAGGAACTGTAAGTTTGCTGATCTGATTACAAGCCAACTGACTACCTAACCTATACATGAAGGATTAAGGCAATTAAAGGCACCTGCTTTATTTAAATTATCTTCTTTCACAGAGGCAGCATTATACATTTTCTGTTACCAGTGAAACTTCCCCTAACACGTGATGCAGTAACTGCTTTTCAGTTTCTTTGTTTTTCACAAAGGAGACAAAAGAGATTTTGAGCAGCATCTGGTGGAAACTGAACTTTTGAAATCAGTAAATCAGTGACTCCCCGTGCCTTTAAAAACCAAACTATAGTTCAGAAATTCTGGACTTCTAAGCTGCTGTGCATTTACTCCCACCTTTTGAAGGAAAATATTGTTGTATTTTGCTACCCACATTTCTTAGGTAAAAAAAAGAAAAAGAAAAAAAGACAGCAAAAATCGCTCTGCATTTCTATTGGTGTTCAGCTAAAGCTGCAGTTTCGCTTTGAACAGAATTGAAACTCAAGCTCTTAGATGGGTGACAGCAAATTCCTAATATAAAAAAAAAGTCAACCTTACTCCGAAAAGGAAATGCTAAGTGTCAGTACAGCTATTAAAATTTCCACTGTTTGTAGGTTTAGGCTGCAAGGAAGATCTCCAAAGACACTGAGCACCTGTCAAAGATTACAGGGTTGAGTGACTGGACACTGTGATTTAGAAAACCTACTTACAACCAAATCAAGTGGACATTAAGCATCTCATGTTCCAGTGTCATGTACCAGGGAACGGCTGGGTGCTTGAAGAAATCAACATACACAGTCAAACTTGTGCCTACTCATTCTCTTTCATAATTATTTAAGCATATTAGCTTTGCTATAAGGTGAATAGTTATAAACAAGTGGAAGGTAACTTTCCTTTGTGGTCACATACAATGTGAAAAATCCAGAGTGTAATAACTAATGTACGGTGTTTGTAGTGCAGGTTTTCATCCTAATAGAAATGTGTTGAATGTCCTTGCAGCACATAGCAGGATTTTAGTGAGATTTCTACATTCGTTATAGTAGCACTCAGTGAAAACCTCAGTGCATCTTGCATGAAAAGCAAAATGCAATTATCAATAAAGAGCAGAGGAATCATACTTTATTGCAGTATTTTAATATTCAACCACAAAGGTGAGAAATATAGTTCTGAATTAATATGGTTGGGAATTAATGAACCCTTTCCTACGCCCTGATTGAAATGGCAGTGGTGCTGTATAGTTTTCTTGTTTTTCTGTTCATGTCTATATGACTCAGACTCTAAACACACAGAATTTGAAAATATGACTGCAAATTCTTTTCCTGTTCATTCTTAAGGTTCCAGGCATCTGAAATGAATTTCTCAGCTCCATCACAGTCAGAGAAATTATGAATTGCTATTTAAAATGTAAAGAAAAGTATGTAGGGAAAGAAAACTCCTCCTAATAAATATCCTAATAATTGAACTAGTCTGTTCTGCTAAGCACAGAGACTTCTAAGTAAGAAACTCTCAGACAGACACCATGCTCTGTGTAGTGCTGGATTGTCATCAGCATAAGTCTATCCTTGTAATTTTTAACTCTGACCACGCATCTACACCCTCCCATGCAATTTGCACCTTTCTGTATGCTGTTTCCTATGCCCTTACCGTTATTGTTTTCATTATGCTTTATTTTGGTTCCCTTCCCCAAAGTCCCATTCACTTAACAGACATTTCTTCTGTAATGTATTCAGCTTAGAACTGTCCCAGTTCTTGAAGCTATTTGCATTACGAATGAATGCCTATAAATAATATTAATTATAAAAATTACTTAAGTTCTAAATCTGAACTATTGTTAACATGACTTAACAATGTCTGTATCTCTATTCATGCAATTTATACTAAAAAAGGGGGATGGGTGAAAGGAGGAACTTAATCTCCTGCAAATGGTAGTTGTCTGAAGTGACTGGCTACCCTTATGTAGCGCGTTTGTCTCCCAGCTAATTGATCTTAAACTTTGTGGCCAAATACTTTGCAATTGTCCCTCTTTAGAGTACCCTGTGGCTTGGATCTTTATCTTCTTGGAGTAGGTCTTGTTACAGTTCTTTATGCTGGGACTCTGTAGCAAGGTAAAACACAGTTCGAAATTAAAACTGTTCAAAAATAATGAAGTAGATAGTAAATTGCAGCATATGAGAATAAAAGCACGTGGATGTATGAGTAATGTGCAAATTTGTTTAAAAGGGGGAAAATAAGAGTAGTCCATTTTTTCTTGGGGGTGGAGCAGTAAACGAGGTACTGTTAAGTACAAATGTTTGAGGAAGTGCATTGAAGCAGTTGTTTCACATTCAATTATTTCTCAAGTTGCAGTCGAGGTGAAGAGTAGTAATAGAGTAGTGATTACTGCTTGAGTAAGTTATGTCATATTATACTCTCCTCTGGACCTCATCTGAACCAGTGGAGACCACTTTTATGCTGTTTTCTTCTGCTCCGACTTACAGGCTCTTCAAACAAAAAATCTGCCAGATCTGGAAGCACACAGAAAATGGTATGTTTCATTTTAAATTTGCTCTTACACCTCTTTTACTGAACTGTTGTGGAAGACTTTCAAGAACATAATCTGCTTTTCTGTTTTCTAACTGTTCAGTTTTACTATTACGGTTAGAAGCTGCAGTGCTTTATGACAGGAAGGGGAAGCTTTTGTTTGCTCTAATACTTATTTGTACTTCAGTGCTACAGAATATGTGTAACAATGTCTTTTCTAATTGCTGTAACTTCTGAGGTGTTCATTGTTCTCTACACTTTGCTCCTATCACCTCTTAAAAACCCCTGCAGAAAAACTTTCTTCAGAAACACCTAGTTGTACTGTTGCTGAATATTTGAAGAGCACTCTAAATCGTTATGGGTTTTTGCACATGCCCATAAGGATCAGTAGATTAGTGCTTTTTGAACTCTTCTTATAAAGCCAAGTGTAGATCACAGAAAAATGAACAGTTCACATGCATACTCCAGCTCTACTTTTAAACAAGCTTCTCATTGCAAAGATGTTGTTGTTTCTCCCATTTAAAAGTCTTTTTATTTGTTCTGGTACTATAACAGCTCCAAAGTGTTACACATGCAAATAGTCAGATACAGCACCAGAATGGAGCAGTTTACAGTTAAAATAGCTAATGCATTACAAAGATATTAGGGTAGAGAAGAATATACAAAGCAATGAAGCACGAAGGTGGTAGGAGCTAGGCTGGCTCTGCAACAACATTAGGTTCCTAAAAATTTAGTAATATGTGAGAGTTCAAAATCTGAGCATTTTAAATGCCCAAAAGGTTTTCTTGTACTTCTTAAGAAACCTAGAAACATATTCTTGAAGACTTTTCAGGCCCAGCTTCATTTCACCTAATTTCAGGCACCTAAATCAGCAGTGTGAGTCTCTGGTGTATAGTCAGTCAGAGGTCTCTCCATCTGTAGAGTCCAGCAGCAGCTACAGAGGGGCTCCCTCTCCCTCTCCCTCTCCCTCTCCCTCTCCCTCTCCCCTCTCCCTCTCCCTCTCCCTCTCCCTCTCCCTCTCCCTCTCCCTCTCCTTCCCACTCTGTCAAAATGTCAGTGCAGCCCAGGTTGGTGACAATGAATTGAGGAACTTGGGTAGACACCTCAAATTAAGGGCCTGAGTGCAGTGGCTGCTTATGAGTTCATGTAGAAAGTTTGTGTTGTCAATCTAGGCTACAATCACACCTTGCCCCTGTCCTGCTCTAGTGCTTGGACAGAGTTTATTTTGGTTTATCATATCTTTAAAGATTGGATCTAATTAACTTTTCCTTCTGTGGCATTAAGAGTGCAGCAATGTAGAAAGTTCATGTTGTCCAGCAGCACCTGCAGAGGGAGTCCCTCATCCTCTTCCTCTCTCTCACTCTCTCCTCCTCCACTCTCTTTTGAATGTCAGTGCAGCCCATATGGGTGACAACGAATTGAGGAACTTGGGTAAGCACCTCAACTTAAGGGCCTGACTGCAGTGGCTGCTTACAAGTTCAGTAGGAAGTTTTTGTTTTCTGTCTAGACTTCAATCACACCCTGCCCCTGTCCTGCTCTAGTGATTGGATGGAGTGGCTTAATTTGGTTTATTGAATCTTTAAAGGTTGAATCTAATTAACTTTTCCTTCCTTACTTTAAAGTTAGAATGGCTCCTGGAGTCTGATGTGCAGCGACTGTCAGTGTTTCCCTCAATTACTGCAGGTTCTGTGTCCGTGGCTGGTGACGGCTGGCACTTCATGCTTTGCTGTGTTGTGCATCAACAGATAAAGGTAATTGGCACCAGTATGGTGGAGAAACATGTTCTGCAGGACAGAGAGTCTCTGCAGTTTCCCTACAGCCTCTCTGCCATCCTCCATGGGAACCTGCCTTGGATAATGATCCTGGCCCTGGAGTCCCTTGGTCTGCTAAAGTAAGAGATGGAGGTGGACAGGTGCTGGGACATTACAGGCCATTTGGTTAGGATAGGTACTCTCTGGCTTTTCTTTAGTCTCATAATGTCTTTTACATGCATAATATGGTGTATCTCCTGGAAAAAGGACTGAAGGAAGGCAGGCAAAACATTTACAAGAATGTATAAGATTTTTCTTTGACAATGTCCCTTGTCACTTGAAGGAAGACCTTCAGTTTTCCATGTAATGAATAGCAATGGTTGAGCCCTTCCTTCTCCCTCCCACTCCCTTCACCATACCAGTGGATAAAAAGTGTTCTAAAAAAAATACTAGGGAGCTGGGCGGAAACAAATGCTTTTTATCTTTTCCAAATTCACTCCACACATACTCTGATTATTCTTATGCATCATTTTCATCCAAATACTTTTCTGCATCAGAAAATCAGAAAGGCTAATTGTCCTCTAAAGGGAAATGGGAAGACTGTGCTGAAAATTCTGGTAAACTTTCTTACCCATTGGCCTCCATCTGGGTGGGAGTCCAATGTGAATTCCATGATGAATAACCAAATGATGGTTAGTTTGATTCCTAGCAGCCGTACTATTTAGCTCCTGGCCTTTTCTCAGAGGATCTGCTGAAAAGAAACTGGCACTATAGCACCACCAGGGAATGGGAAAGAATGTGGAAGAGGAAGGACTGGGGTGTAGTACTGTAATAGGTTACATCTGCAGTTGACTTCTACATTTTTATTTCTGTACTGAGGCTCTGAATCCCCAAAGTGATGCCACTTGTCTGTGGACTCTAGATAGCAGAAGTGCAGTGCTGTGTGAGATTTCACCTGCCTTCTCGCACATCTGCTGCCCTGCAGGTCACTGGAGCACTCTTCTAGGTGCATGGATGCAGAGGGAGGTTTAGCATAGTTCTCTAAGGTAACACAGAAACACAGAGTTGTCTAGGAGACACTGTGGTTGAAGTGAACCGAGCGTACAACAGGAAGCCTCGCTTCACCTCCAATCTGTGTCACCTGCAAGGCATGTCTTTGGCAGCACTCAACAGGGGTTGCACAGACCGCTTGAGTAGGTTTCTGTATATTCTTGTGCCCCAGCTAAAGAGAAAAAACACTTCCTTGTATCTTGGATATTTAATTAACCATCCAATTTTCTGCTTCTTACCTGGGTTTTAACATTCCATCAATATTATCCTACTTGTTTAAGAGCCCTCCATGGGCCATGCATCTGCAAGCCTTCAACCCTGAGTTTTCAAGGGAGAAATGACCAGCACCTGATACCAGCAGTTAAGATGCTGGGCAGCACAGCAAAATGGTCATGGCCTCTCTGCCTGTGTCACACAAGCCAAGGCTGGCAGTCTGCCAGCTGGGGTTTCTTTGACACTGACCACTGCTGAGGAAGTAATGTGTAAGCTGTGACATATTAAAAGCTTATTGCTCTTCCCGTAGTATACATAAATGTATAAAGTAGGCAAGACCACAAAGACTTGACAGACACAGAGAATGTTTTGAAAGTCTCTTTAAATGCCTGTGGGATTTTGGCTCTAGGTATTTAATGCTTTTTATCTTTTATGGAACATGCCCAATTTTAAACCTGTCTTTGATTTTCATTTTCACACTTCACATCGATACAGTGTTTTCTTGTCCCCCTGTTCTTACTGAACAGTAAAAATGCAACACGGTATTAAACCTTATGGAAATAAAGCCATAGACTGGCTTAGGTCAACTCTCCACCTGTGCTGACGCTTCAGTAAGTTTGAAAGTCTACACTAGCTTTTAAGTGACTATAGGTTTTATCTATCATACACTATGAAACACCAACTTTGCTCATTTACTCCAGTATGCAATGGCAATCTGCTGGAACTTTAACACCTCCTGTTTCCCCTTAAAAGAAAAGAACATTCACAGAGATGTAAACTTCAATCACCTGTGTTGTCAGTTTTTCAGTAGATTTTTTTAACCAATTCATTATTTAAAGTGTGGTATTTATATTAACACTGAAATACATCATGATAATAAAGTAAGGAATGCCAACAAAATAGCAACAAATGAGCAACAAAACTTATAATTCTACCTGCACATCTACAAGTGTAGACCTGTTTGGTCTGGCCCACTATGAGGGTGAAATGTTTAATTGCCTTAAACTAATACGTCTGTGTTTCCTTGTTTTTAGGTACCTTGTGCAAAGATGTCAAATGCATTGCTATTTGTCTTACTCTTCCTGTTTCCGATGCTGCTGTCAGGAGCTTGGTTTCCCAAAACTTTACCCTGTGATGTTAAATCCTCGGAAGGTACTGTGACAGTGGACTGCACCTACCGGCGTCTCACAGAAGTCCCCAGAGGGATCCCTGAAAACGCTACCAACCTCACCCTGAGTATTAACCATATCCCCCATATTGATCCAACATCCTTTGCTCAACTTAAAAACCTCATGGAGATTGACTTCAGATGCAACTGTGTGCCTGTAAGAATGGGGCCCAAAGACCTTGTGTGCAACAGCAGTCTGAAGATTGACAATGGCAGTTTTGCTGCCCTGACAAGACTGAAGTCATTGTACTTGGATGCAAACCAGCTGTTGGAAATACCCCGAGGTCTTCCTGCTACTTTAACCCTGCTGAGCCTGGAAGCAAATACTATCTTTTCTATCCAGAAAGCCAACTTGTCAGAGCTAGGAAACATAGAGGTATTGTATCTGGGACAGAACTGTTACTACCGCAATCCGTGCAATGTTTCATTTGAAATTGAGGAAACAGCCTTTCTGCAGCTGAAAAAATTAACAATACTATCCCTGAAGTCCAACAACTTAACACATATTCCACCCAATTTGTCATCTACTTTGAAGGAACTGTATATTTACAATAACAGGATTCAAGTGATTCAAGAACAGGATTTAAGTGCCCTTCCCAACCTAGAAATTCTCGATCTGAGTGGCAACTGCCCACGTTGTTATAATGCCCCATACCCTTGTATTCCCTGCACCAATGGCTCAATTCAGATACATTCAAAGGCTTTTGATTCCTTGACAAATTTACGAATTTTGCGGCTTCACAGTAACTCTCTTCAGAGCATACCCAGCAGCTGGTTTAAAAACATCAAGAATCTGAAAGAACTTGACCTCTCCCAAAATTTCCTCATGAAGGAGATTGGAGATGCTCAGTTTTTGAAGTTTATCCCCAGCCTGGTGGAGCTTGATCTGTCCTTTAATTTTGAACTCAAGATGTATTCTCCCTTCTTGAATCTGTCTCAGACATTTTCTTCCCTCTCTAACCTGGAAACTTTGAGGCTCAAGGGTTATGTCTTTAAAGAACTGAGAGCGACACACCTAAAGCCACTGCTCCATCTTAGGAATCTCACTGTCTTGGACCTTGGGACTAATTTTATTAAAGTTGCAGACCTGGCAGTGTTCAAAGAATTCCCAGCTCTTAAGTTCATAGACCTCTCAGTGAATAAAATTTCTCCTTCTTCAGGGGAAAGCAACTTCTATGGGTTCTGCTCTAATCCTAGGATTTCAGTAGAGCCGTATGTCAGGCAAGCACTACCAGACATGCACTATTTCAGGTATGATGTTTATGGGCGAAGTTGCCGTTCCAAAGATAAAGAGGCTGCTTCCTTCCAATCTTCAGTTAAGGAAGATTGCCTGCAATATGGAAAAACTCTGGATTTGAGCAGAAATAATGTATTTTTTATTAACCCCTCAGACTTCCGGGGACTTAGCTCCTTTAGATGTCTCAACTTGTCAGATAATGCAATAAGTCAAACTTTAAATGGAAGTGAATTCTCCTACTTGTCTGGATTGAAATATCTGGATTTTTCTAACAACAGGGTTGATTTGTTATACCAAACTGCTTTCAAAGAGCTAAAACTTTTAGAAATTCTTGACCTGAGCAACAACCAACATTATTTTCTGGCAGAAGGTGTTACTCATGTGCTTAATTTTGTGAAAAACCTAGCCCATTTGAGGAAGCTGATGATGAATGAGAATGAAATTTCTTCCACCATTAACACAGGAATGGAAAGTCAATCTCTTCAAATTTTAGAATTTAGAGGAAATCATTTAGATGTTTTATGGATGGATGGCAATGCTAAATACTTGTCCTTCTTCAGGAATCTGACCAGCCTGGAAGAACTGGATATTTCCTCCAACTCGCTCACTTTTTTGCCTCACGGTGTTTTTGAAGCAATGCCTCCCAAACTCAAACTCCTCAACTTAACTAGTAATCGATTGAAGAGTTTCAACTGGGGAAACCTCCCCTATCTGAAGAAACTAGTAACTCTGGACCTGAGCAATAACCTTCTGACTACTGTTCCCCGAGAACTGTCCAATTGCTCTTCATCACTGCAAGAACTGATGCTCCGAAACAATCGTATTCAGCATCTAACCAAACATTTTCTCAGAGGCGCATTTAAACTGAGGTATTTGGACCTCAGTTCAAACAAGATTGAAATCATTAAGAAGTCTAGTTTCCCTGAAAATGTCATCAACAACCTGGAGATGCTGCTTTTGCACGGCAATCCTTTCAAGTGCAACTGTGAGGCCGTGTGGTTTGTCTGGTGGATCAATCAGACTCAAGTGACTATTCCTCTTCTGGCCACGGACGTGACCTGCGCTGGCCCAGGGGCACATAAGGGAAGGAGTGTGGTTTTCTTGGATCTGTACACGTGTGAGCTGGACACCTCATATTTGATCCTGTACGCTCTGTCAGCTTCAGCCGTCCTCAGTTTTATGGTGCTTGCGGTGACGAGCCATCTGTACTTCTGGGACGTGTGGTACAGTTACCATTACTGCACTGCCAAGCTGAAGGGCTATCGGCGTTTAGCTTTACCAGATGCCTGTTATGATGCTTTTATTGCCTATGACAACGAAGATCCAGCTGTGAATGACTGGGTGATGGAAGAACTGGTTAAAAGGCTGGAAGACCGAAAAGCCAGGCAGTTCAATTTATGCCTGGAAGGAAGGGACTGGCTCCCGGGACAGCCAGTCTTTGACAACCTTTCCCAGAGCATTCAGTTAAGCAAAAAGACCGTATTTGTGCTGACCAATAAGTATATTAAAAGCGGTAGTTTCAGGACAACCTTTTACATGGCCCACCAGCGGCTTCTGGATGAAAAACTGGATGTCATTATCTTGATATTTCTTGAGAAGGTTTTGCAGAAGTCGCGCTATGTCCGGCTGAGGAAGAGGCTGTGCCGAAGTTCTGTCCTGGAATGGCCAACTAATCCTCAATCTCAGCCCTTCTTCTGGCAGTGCCTGAAAAATGCCATAGCTACAAACAATTCACTGGCTTACAACAAGCTTCTCCAAGAAACTGTTTAGCTCTACTCTCCCATAAAATTTGTTATAATGCACATGCACCTTGCTTGGGATTTATTACTGCACAGCAAGAGATAATGCACTACACCCTGGAAGTCACTGGTTTAGAACAAAATCACCGCTTCCAGCTTTGAGTTCACTAGAGGCCTCTAGCATCTCCTGTGGTTGGGTCAAGTGTTGGTTAGACACTTTCTCAACATACTCAAATACACAGACTGCAGGAGAGGACCATGCCTAAACTTGCTGCTGTTCAGACATTATTGGAGTAAACATGATTTTCATAGAAAATTTCTGTATTTGCTGTATTTATGAAAAACAAGAAAAGTGCTTGCTGGCATATTTGTCTCTGAAAATACGTTTAGCAAAACTCATGCTTTGATCTTAGGAGTTGAGAAAATAGAAGGTTTCTTATCTTTTCACATTAGGCTTCCGGCTTCTGAGTCTGCCACTTCTGTCTGAGTAAGGAAGAGTCCTAATCTCTGGGGATAAGAAATTCTGGAGTCCTAATCTCTGGGGATAAGAGACTTCTGCCAGAGGTTTGTGTCTGGTACAGGAGCTATCCCATTGTTGCACTGCCAAAAACCTCATCAATCTGAAGAGACTTTGAAGAATGTGTGTGGCCTGAAATTGGAAGGTGTGTGAGAAACAAGTTCTGAAGGGCTTGTAAGCTGTGGGTGGGAAGGAGTTATAAGATAAAGAGAGTCCTTGTGCATGAAGCATCCACTTGGAAGCAAGAAGAGGGAGTAGGACAGCAGATAGGCAGAGGGAGAGGCATAAGGCAGATGGACAAAATCAATTAAAGACACAGACACAAAGATTATCTTTCAGATCCCTTCCAACCCAAACCATTCTATGATCTCAGCTGCCTCTGGTGGTTCCTTTCCTACCTTTCTGGTCTGGTCCTTTCTTTAAATAGTACCTTTTTTACTTAGTTGTAGGCAGGCAGACAAGATCACAGACACAAACAAGAAAACTAATAATATATAATAATCCTGCAGATAATAAGGTTTTTTTTTTCCTCAAATTATCATGGTAGTGTTACTAATTAACAGCAGAAGTAGGAGAAAGAGCAGGGCCTGTTTGGAAGAGTGAGTGTTTTATGATTTTTTTTGACATTGTTAGAAGGATCCGAGGAACTACAGGCCTGTCAGCCTGACATTGGTGCCAGGGAAGGTCATCTCTAATGCCATCATGCAACAAGTACAGGACAACCAGGGGGTAAGGTCCGGTTAGCATGGGTTTATGAAAGGCAGGTCTTACTTGACCAACCTGATCTCCTTCTGTGACAAAATAACCCGCTTAGCGGATGATATTATTATCTAGATATTAGTAAAGCCTTTGACATCATTTCTGATAGCATTCTCCTAGAGAAACTGTCTTATCGTGACGTGAACGGGTGTACTCTTTACCAGGTAAAGGCTGGCTGGCTGGCCTGGCCCAGAGAGTGGTGGTGAATGGAGCTACATCCAGCTGGCAGCTGATACTGGTGATGTTCCACAGGGCTCAGTACTGGGGCCAGTCCTATTTAGTATCTACATCGAAGACTTGAATGAGGAGATTGAGTTTGCTCTCAGCAAATTCACAGCTGATACCAAATTGGGTGGGAATATTGATCTACCTTAAGGCAGGAAGGCTCTGCAAAGGAATCTGGACAGGCTGGATCAGTGGGCTGAGGCCAGCTGTGTGAGATTCAACAAGGCCAAGTGCTGGGTCCTGTGCTTGGGTCACAACAACCCCATGCAGTGCTACAGGCTGGGGGAAGAAAGTCTGGAAAGCTGCATGGTGAAAAAGAACTTGGTGCTGTTTGACAGCTGGCTGAACATGAGCCAGCAGTGTGCCCAGGTGGCCAAGAAAGCAAGTGGCATCCTGGCTTATATCAGAAATAGTGTGGCCAGAAGGACTGGGGTAGTGATTTTCCTGCTGCACTCAGGAGGCTGCACGTTGAATTCTATGTTCAGTTCTGGGCCCCTCACTACAGGAAAGACATTGAGGTGCTGGAGAGTGTCCAGAGAAGGGCAACAAAGCTGGTGAAGGGTCTGAAGCACAAATCCTATGAGGAGTGGTTGAGGGAGCTGGGATTATTTAGGCTGGAGAAAAGGCGGCTGACAGTAGATCCTATTGCTCTCTATAACTACCTGAAAGGATGTTGTAGTGAGGTGGGAATCAATCTCTTCTCCCAGGTAGAAAGTGACAGGATGAGATGAAATGGCCTGAAGCTGTGCCAGAGTAGGTTTACATTACCATGAAAAAAAATCTTCATGGAAAGGATTGTCAATCACTGGAACAAAATACCCAGGGAAGTGGTGGAGTCACCATCCCTGGAAGTATTCAACAAACGTGTGGATACTCTTTAAGGGTGAACACAGTGGTGGTGCTGAGCTGACAGTTGGTATTGGTGTTCTTAAAGGCCTTTCCAACCTTAACAATTCTATGATTCTGTTGTTTCTTATGGTTGTGTTTCTAAACCTATACAGTTTATGTCTCTAAATAGAACATGATCTGTAACATGTCTATCTTCATGAGGTAGAATCATAGAATAATGCCATGGTTTGGCTCAGGGAAGAGACCTTAAAAGTAATTTAATTCTAATCCCTTGCCATGGGCAGGGACACCTTCCACTTCACCAGATTGTTCAGACCCCCATCCAATCTGGCCCTGACCACAAGGGCATCCACAGCTTCTCTGGGCAACCTGAGTCTGTCACCACCCTCACAGTAAAGAATTTATCAATTATATCTCATTTTAAGTTACCCTCTATCAGTTTAAAGCCATTCCTCCTTGTCCTATCTCTACATGGCCTTGTACAAAGTCTTGCTTCAGCTCTCTTGTAGAGCCTCTTTAGGTTCTGGAAGAGGCTTTAAGGTCTCCCTTGAGCCTTCTCTTCTCTGGGTTGAAGAACCCCAGCTGTCTCAGCCTCTCCTCATAGGAGAGAGGTTCCAGACCTCTGATCACCTTTATGGTCTTCCTCTAGACTCACTCTGACAGGTCCCAGTCCTTCTTATGTTGGAGGCCCCAGAGTTGGACTCTTCAGTCCTCACAAGAACAGAATAGAGGGGGAGAATCACCTCAAAAGACCATACCTTTTTGACGCAGCCCAGGACATAGCTGGCTTTCTAAACTGCAAGTACACATTGTCAGATCATGTTGAGCTTCTTGTCAACCAGTCCCCCCAAGTCTTTGTCTTCAGCTCTGCTCTCAATCCATTCTCAATCTCACCTGTTTTTGTGCTTGACCCAACCCACATGGTTACCCCAACCCACATGGAGGATCTTGCACTTGTCCTTGTTGAACTTCATGAGGTTCACACAGGCCCATCTCTCAAGCGTCTCAAGTATCCTCTGGATGGCATCCCTTCTGTCCATCATTTCAAATACACCACGCAGCTGGGTGTCATGAGAAAACTTGCTGAGTTTTTTCAATCCCACTGTCCACATCATTGACAAAGGTGTTAAGCAGCACCATTCCCAACACAAACCCCTGAGGAACACTACTCATCATATATCTACACTTGGGTATTGAGCTCTCTGAGTGCAACCGTCCAGCCAACTGCTTATTGACCAAGAGCTCCATCTGTCACATCCATGTTTTTCCAATCTAGAGACAAGGATATCATGTGAGACCGTGTCAAATGCTTTGCATAAATCCAGGAAGATGATATCAGTCACTTTTCCCCCATCTACCAACACTCCAACCCCATTGTGAAGCCATACTGGCTGTTGCCAATCACGTCCTTATTTTCCATGTGCTTTACTGTAGTTTCCAAGAGGATCTCTCCATGATCTCACAAGGCACTAAGGTGAGACTGACTGTCTGTAGTTCTCCAGGACTTCTTTTTTCCCCTTTTTAAAAATGAGGGTTACATTTCTCCTTTTCCAGTTAGTGGGAACTTTACCAGACTGCCACAACTTCTCAAATATGATGGATAGTGACTTTTAGAAATATCCTCCCCCATTTCCCTCAGGACCATGGATACATCTTATCAGGTTGCATGAACTTCTGCACCTTCAGGTTTCTTAGATGGTTTTGAACCTGATCTTTTCCTACAGTTGGTGGTTTTTCATCCTCCCAGTCCCTGCCTTTACCTACTGTGATTCAGGTGGTGTGGCTGGAGCACTTGCCAGTGAAGACTGAGGTAAAAAAGTTGTTGAGTACCTCAGCCTTCTCCATGTCCTTGGTAACCAGGTCTCTCATTTCCTTCCAGAGACAGCCCACATTTTCTCTAGTCTTAATTTTATCACCAGAATTAGCTACAGAAGCTTTTGTTGTTGCCATTGACCAAATCTGGGCTTTAGCTCCTAACTTGATCCCTGGCTGCTCAATTTCTCTGCGTCCCTCCTCCATATACCTGTCCTTTCTTCTGACCTCTGTAGGCTTCCTTTTCATGTTTGAGTTTGTCCAGGAGATCCTTGTTCATCCATACAGGTGCCAGTATTCTTGCCTGACTTCTTTTTTGTTGGGATGCATTGCTCCTAAGTTTGGAGGAAGTAATCCCTGAATACCAACCTGCTTTCTTGGGTCCCTGTTGCCTCCAGGGCTTTATGGCACTCCAGCAAGCATCTCTGAAGAGACCAAAGTCTGCTCTCCTGTGAGTCCAAGTGAAGTCCAAAGTAGCAACCTTGCTTTATGTCCTCCTCCCTGTCCTAAGGGTCTGGAATGATTTTATGGTCACTGTAGTCAAGTCAGCCTTGATCTTCAAGTTCCGCACCAGCGTCTCCTTGCTGGTGAGAGCAAAGCCCAGCACAGCACCTCTCCTTGTTGTCTTCTCTACCACTTGTAGAAGGAATTTTTCATCAATGAATTCCAGGAACTTCCTGGATTGCCTGTGCCCTTCTGTCTTATCCGTACAACAGATACTGGGGTAGTAGAAGTCCTCCACGAGGACCAGGGCTTATGAATGTGAGGCTACTCCTACCTATCTATAAAGGGCCTCAGCCACTCAGACTTCCTGGTCAGGTGGTCTGTAGCAGACCCCAACTAGAATGCCACCTGTCCCTGCTGTCCCTTCAGTCCTGACCCATAAGCTCTCAGTCAGCTCCTCATTGGTTTCCAGACAGAACTCCATGAACTCCGGCTGGTCACTGACGTAGAGGGTGACAACTCCTCCTCATTTCCCCTGCCTGTCCTTCCTAAAGAACCTGTATCCTTTCATTCCAACACTTTAGTCATAGAAGCCATCTCACCAAATCTTCATGATGCCAATAAGATCATAGCCTTTCAGATTTATACACATTCCTAATTCCTCTTGTTTATTCTTGTTTATTATGTGAGAGTTTGCATAGAGGTATTTATGCTGAGTCCTCAACTTAATCACGGAATATCTTGAATCAGAATGGACACATAAGAATTACCAAGTTCAACCATCTGCTTCTTGCAGGACTGTCTAAAAATAAACCATATTGCTAGAAGTGTCATTCATATACTCCTCAAACTCTGACAGGCTTGATGCTGTAGCCCTGGGGAGCCTGTTCTAGCAATTGACTAATCTCTCAGTGAAGAACCTCTCCCTAATGACCAGTCTGGACTTCCTCTGACACAACTTCGTATCATTCCTTGTGTCTTGATGCCTAAAAATGGAAGAAAAATTCTCTTCTGGCCTATTCAAGAAGTCTGTCAGAGATTCATCTTTTGCTTTACCTTATAGAATTTTGAATAATTTATTGCTTTTGGAATAACATGTCTTATACCATACACTATCCAGTTCTGATAGTGTCTCAGCCTCTCTGTCTATTCTACTATATTGGATCCCATCTTGGATCTCGTAAAGGGAAAGATCATCTATTGTCCCTTGAAGGTTTCCTGCCGCTATTCCAGCTTCAATCTACACTCAAGCTGAACTGCCTCTTTCTCTCTTTTGTCAAGTAATGTATCCATCATAACCTCTAAATCATAATGGTGATTCTGCAGGGAGACAGATCTGGGGAGGATCAGGGGTCGGATAATTCTCGTATTGGATGGATTAGTACTATAAAATTGTGTGACCCCTGGACACTTATGCACACCTATGTACTGCATGCACCTGAAGACCTTCATTAAAGAAGTGCTCTCTATTTTATCTATACTAACTAATATTGTTTGGAGAATTTTTCTTCCATTTCAGGCATCATTATCACTGGTCACCAGAGAGAGGAGATCAGCACCTTCTCCTCAGTTGCATCCCTTGAGGAAACTGTAGACCACGATGAGGTCACCTCTCAGCCTCTCTTCTCCAAGGTGAACAAGCCAAGTAACTTCAGCTGCTACTCTTGCTCTCAAGGCCTTTCACCATCTTGATCATCATCCTCTGGACACAATCTAATAGGTTGAGGGTTTTTAATGTTGAGGTGCCCCAAACTGCATGCAGTACTTAAGGTGGAGTTGTACCAGTGCAGTGCAGAGTGGGATAAGCACCTCCTTTGACTGGCTGTCAATGTTGTGCTTGATGCACCACAGGGCATGGCTGCCCCTTGAGCTTGCCAGGGCACTATGTTGACTCAATTCAACTTGCCATCAACCCAGACTTCCAGATCTTCTTCTGTGGGGCTGCTCTCCAACCTCTCATCCCCCAGTTTGTATGTATAACCAGGATTAATCTGTCCCAGGCACTTGCTCTTTTTAAGTTTTGCACTGTTGGTGATTGCCCAGCTCTCTAGTCCATTGAGATCTCTTTGTAAGGCCTCTCTACCCTCAAGGGAGTCACAGTTCCTCTTATTTTTATCAATATTATAAAATATTCCTATTATTATTATCAGCAAACTTCCTCAGAGTGCACTTCATCCCTGTACCCAGATCATTTTAAAATATGTTCAAGAGCACTGGTCCTACAACTGAGCCCTGGGGAACCCCACTGGTGACTGGCCACCAATCTGGCGTAACCCCACTTACAGCAACCCTTTGAGCCCAAACCATCACCCAGTGTATTTTGGACTTCTCTGGCTGCACACTGGACTATTTGTCCAGAAGGGACTGTAAGAGACAGTATCAAAAGCTTTCCTAAAGTCCAAAAATCCCCACACATCTACTGGTTTCCCTTTGTCAGCTAGATGGAAAAGCTTGACATAAAGGGAAATTAAGGTAATTAAACAGGAATTTCCCCTTGAGGTTATGAGCTGGCTATGACCAGGGACTACAATGTCTCTCAAGTGTTGTTTAAGAAAAATAAACTTCTCTATAATTTTAC